GATAGCAGCTTGGCAATTGCACTACAAATGCAGAGTGATAAATGAATGGCAGATACATCTGAGCTGTACACAAAAAGGAGACACATCTTTAATTCTGGACCATACCGAGTTCTTGCACCCGACCATGTTTAAAGCGCCATCTGACGCAAACCCAATGCAATTTGTTAGACTCTGACCACACCTTTTGATTTCCTTATCAATCAAATTAAAAAAGTTTTCTCCTGTAGCCACTTGCAAGTAAATTAAAGCAAGAAATCCGGTAAATATTGCATTTTTCCTGTCACTGAAAAACCTATAATGCACAAGTACTTTCTATAATGATGGCATATTTCTTGTTCCGAAAATCATCAATAAGGTCATCCTTAATTGCAGGCGATATAATATTTCTTATTAAGCATAAACATTTAGTTCTATGCAACTGTATGTGCTCCAATGTACTCCCCTGACCATGCGCTCTCATGATTTCACTTAAATGTTCAATTGTGCGTATTGCACAATGGCAGGTCATGCTTACAGCAAGTTGCAACTCTGCTGCTTTAACTTTATCATTACTTTGCCTAGGAGTTATTGTTGTAATAAGCTGTGACTGGCTTTTTGACAGAGTTTTCATCATGTGTTTTTCTGATTTTTCATGATTTGAAATGCTACTAATTCTTGGTGCAACAGTGCACTGACACAGATTACAATATGCTGCCTCTGATCCGTCTGAAGATATTTTGAGCCATGAGTATGTTTTCTCCCAATTACTATTATACTTGCGATTGCTGTCATAAGATTAAGATACTTCCCATTTTTTGGATGACGTAGCCATTAGTCTTCTTCTTCTTCTTCTTCTTCTTCACTTCCTCTTTTACCGCTTTGGGTGTCGAGGGAGATATAAGGTTCTGTTTCTAGCTCTTCTGGCTGCCTCGACCATAGGCACATCGTGCTGTTGTAGAGTTTCTCTGATGTTATCCTTCCATATTGTTCTTGGTCTACCCCGTGCTCTACGTCCTTCTTCTCTTTCCATGTATGCTTTGTATGGTATGGTGTCACAAGGCATTCTCTCTAAGTGGGCAAACCATTTCACTTGCTGTCTTTGTATGTAATCCAGAATTGGTTCTGTGCCGACTTGTTCTCTTATGATCTCATTCCTGATCTTATCTCTTATGGTCACTCCTACAGCCCTTCTCAGACATCTCATTTCCGTGGTTACTAATTTTCTTTTATGGTTTGTTGTGAGTGACCATGTCTGGCACTGGTAGCACAGAGTTGGAATAAATATGCTTTGAATAAGATGTCTCTGTGTGCTGATTGGGATTGTCTTATGCTGTAAGAGGGGGGCTAGCTGTCCCAATACTTGGTTTGCTTTACTGCATCTAATGTCAATTTCTTTATCCAATTTCCCATCTTCGGTAAATGTAGTTCCTAGATATTTAAACTCAGATGCCTGTTTAATGCCTTTGTATTCTATTGCTATGTTTAGATCTGTCTTCTTTTTTCCTATTGACATTACTTCTGTCTTTTCAGTGTTGGTTCTCATATTATTTGTTTTACATTCTTCATTCATGGATGTTAGATGTTGTTGCAATTTCATGGCTGTATCTGCTATCAAGGCCTGGTCATCTGCAAAGAGTAATTCGTTGATCTTACTAAGATCTTCATTCATGGGCTTGGCATTCTTGCATATACTGTCGATGTAGGTGATAAACAGCAGTGGTGATAAGACACACCCCTGTCTTACTCCAGATGTCACTGTGAAAGGATGAGATGTTCCCTGATTTATTCTAACTACACTTCTACAATCCCTGTATAAACTTTTGCACACTTCGATGAGGTGTTCGCTTACTCCATATCTTGCCATTATTTTCCATAATAATTGTCTGTCGACTCTGTCAAATGCCTTCTCCTGGTCTACGAATGCCACAAATAAGTTCTTATTGTATTCAATGTTCTGTTCTATTAACTGTTTAAGAGTGAAGATTGCATCTGTGCAGCTTCTATTTCTCCTAAATCCCATCTGTTCTTCTGCCAGCTGTGGTTCTATCACTGGCCTCAGTCTTGTTTCTATTATCTTGGCATACATTTTGCCAACATGGCTTAAAAGAGAGATGCCTCGATATTGACCGCATTCTCGTTTGCTTCCTTTGTTCTTCCACAATGGTATAACTATTGCATGTTGCCAATCAATAGGGGCCGTTTGTTGTACCCATGCTGCATTGAATATTCTGTGAAGCCATCTGATGATGCTTTCACCTGCTGCTTGAATTATTTCTGTTGGTAATCTATCAGCTCCTGGTGCTTTATATTTGGGAGCCTGTTTAATGACTTTTTCTATTTCATCCATTAGTATGTGTGGTTCTAACACTGTTGCTCTGTGCTCTTCAGTTGTTCTTTCCTGGTGATCTCCTAGAGGATTTAAAGAGCTCATTGAAGTATGTAGCCATTAGTAACAGTAATGAAATCTATCACAGATAGAACTAGGTCTATATCCTATCTATTTTCTGTCATCGGGTAGTTTCTGAACAGTCTGAATCACTTGGTATCAGTGGTGGGTTTTCGTTTTATATCTCGCATTTATTCTAGTAAATTAACATAAATTACAGAGGTTTATAACATTCGCGATCCGTTTAGGAAGGCAACAAAACAATAAGAAATGGCGCGAATCTCCGTTAGTCCGTACCAGGACATCACAACAAAGTCAAACTGAAATAAAGATTTTAACTGTAGGTCTAGATTGCTTTTAGTAAATTTGCGTGTTTCTAACAGATGAACCATGAAGCAAATGTGAGCACATCTTTATAAGAAAAACCAGGAAAAACCCATATATGCCAGAATATGCCAGTTCATTATCTTATGCCAGTTCAATTTCAAATATGCCAGATTTGTGGAATCTGGCATAAAAAATGCCAATATGGCAACCCTGCTTCAACCTACCACGTTACAGTTTGCGAACTCTGAACCTAAGCAAGCACTAGACATCGGGTCAAGGGTCACGTCGTTTCTTTTACAGTGTACAGTAATATAAAAGTAACACACTATTATTTATCATCAATTATCAACTGTTAGTCTGATCAACTTGATATACACAGCTGCTGACTCTTGTTTCCAGAAAATCATGGCAATGTAAGTCATTTAACTGCGTTAATAACTGTCATAGTATAACTCACAGTACAAACCAGATAGACCGTAATTCAAATTGTTTCCTCATTTATCTAAGATTTTTTATTGTAATAATATTACACATATAATTTATCCTTCTGTCGGCTGTCCTCCGAATAACGGTCCCAAATTATCAAGGCCGAAAATATACCCTAGCAGGGTCTTAGTCACATGTAAATTGCGGACTTCTTTCCGGCGACCATATCGCCACCGCCGAGAGTATCTCCCGCGCCGTGGAGTGGGGCTAAACAAGATGGCTGGAACTCATAAGCAAAAAAATGAAGGAAGCTACAGGAGATGCGCCGCGGGTAGCGGCGCGGAAGATACTCTCGGCGGTTACTTTAAATCGGCCAAAGCTTTTTCACGGAATGCTGCATAGTTGCCGGAAAGAGGTCCGCAATTTACATGTGACTGAGGCCCTGTTACGGTATATTTTATGCCTCAATAATTTGAGATGGTTATTCGGAGGATAGACCGTCTGTAATAATATTCGAAGACAAAACCCTGTCTTGCTGAGCCTCTAAAACTGAGCGACCTAATCACATATCAGGGGCGCAGACACGGAAAAAACCCAACATTGTGGGTGACGGGTTAATGAGGTCTAAGCCTTGTTTATGAAGTAAAAGTCAAGGTCCCTTGACACGCCAGTGGCGTATGGGGCATATCAGGTTAGACTCATATTTTCATAGACCCACTTGGTGGATGATGTGGTCAGATCCTGCAGCCGCCTTTACTTTCCATGAATGTTTTTGTTAGCACAAATGTGTCCTGGCAGTTGCCTGAACTGATCATAATTGAAAGGGAGCTTAGAAATTCAGTTAGAGATAACTTGTCTAATACTATAAATAATTATTATTTTCAGGATATCATTAGGGTGGAGGATATAAAATATGTAGTGCAAAAAAGCAAAAGACACTGTCCTGGGCCCAGACGGAGTGAGGTATGCCCATATGAAGAGCATGAGTGATGAAGACTTGAGGGAGATGGCTTTTTACTTCAACCAGAGCATCAGAACAGCTTCAGTACCCCAGGACTGGGTACACAGCTACCTGATCCCACTTCCAAAACCAGGCAAAGATCATTCCAGACTCAACGGTTTCAGGATTATCACCCTACAAAATACTTTTGGCAAAGTGCTTGCTAGAGAAGATTATTGCTGTTGAACTACAAATATTTTTGGAAAGGGAAGAGCTCCTGCCAAAAGGTTTGGGTAGTTACCGGCCACGGAAAGATATCTGGGCAAATGCAGCTACTTTTGCTTTTAACGTCTATGAGGGGTGTCAGAACAGGCAGGAGAGGGTTGTGGCAGCACTTGATCTTGAGGATGCCTATAATAGAGTCAGATATGTTATTTTGATATCTGTACTCATGAAAAGGGTTTGGCTTGTGAACTGAATAGCAGCTGTCCTGCATTCATGTATGGTTGCCATTCTCCTGGGTACATGGACCTCAGAACCATGTAATATCACCCCGGTACTACCCTAGGGTTCTGCAATTTCACCAGTGCTCTTCAATGTGTAAATAAGCAAGATTATAGAACTTGAAGCTCAAGGTGGAAGGATACTGACATTTGCCAGTGAATGATGTGTTTACATATAGGCAGGGGAGTGATGGACAACTGATAGCCCAGTAGCTGCAGGCAACTGTAGACAAAGTGACTGACTGGTGTGCAGAAATAGGTACTGTCATCAATTCATAAAAAAACATCTGTTTTATGGTGCTCTCTGAACAATAGAATTATTAGAGCTAATGTTCCAAGCCTCACAATTAATAACAGTAACATCAAAAGAGAAAGCAAACTGAGCTACCTGGGTATAATTGTAGATAGAAACCTGTCCTTCAATGACCATGTGAAGGCAGTTGCGGTGAAATGCCAAAAAGGGCTCAATGCTCTCAAAATTAGGGCAGCAATGGACATGGAACAAAGAATGTTATTCACAATGCTCTAATGTGATCCTGTTGGTGATAGATTATGGACTTGGCATGCTTACCAGAGTCAGCTGATGAAACTTAAAAAGCATACAGAATGAAGCCATGCGGGTAATTCTGGTATGTACAAGAGATACCCTGGTAGTATGCTTGCAATATATACTTGCACTGCCTACTATTGCAGATAGGCTCAAAGTTTTGCAAGCAAAGTCATATCTCAGAGTAGCTGCAGACAAGAAGCACATTAGGTTGTGAGTGCAGGTACTGGGCAGCTGATGCTGCAGAATCAGAAGTTCAACACATTTTTCGTAACTTTTCCCGCTCAAGTGATGTGATTATATATACAAATGGCTCTGTGTTTAGAGGCAGACAAAGTGCATTCGGGTTCATAGCAAAAGTGAGTGGACGTCGCTTAGTGCAGTAAAGCCTTGCATATGATATCACCTCGTCTAGTTTGAGAATGGAGTAGGAGGCAGTCACTGCTGCCTTCCACTGGTTTGAGAATCAGCTGTACATACATGCTGTGATTGTAACTGACTTATAGAGCATGTTGAGAAAGGTGGATACAGGCATGCTCCATGCAGAGTGGCAAGCATCACTTTAGAGGTCCTGGATAGTTAGCGTCCTTTGGATATTTGCTCTTGGTAATGCTGGTGTGTTGGGAAATGAGCAGGCAGACAGACTGGCTGGCTCTGCACCACGTGGTGGTGAATTAATGTATGACAAGCTAGATGTTATGAGGGCCATTTAGGAGCAAGTGAACAGTGTGGAGGCACAAAGAGATCATTACTGTCTGAGGAGAATGGCGCTGCAAGGAGTTACCAGGGGATCTGGCAGATGCTCAACACTGAGGGGAAGGGAGAGATGCATATTCAGTGAGACAGTTACTGGTGCCATGGGAGCTGCAGTTCTTTGTTTGCTGCTGAAGATAGAGACAGAGCGCTTATGGGGGTGTCCTGAAGGCTGTGATGTCAATTCTTAATTCAACATTCAACATTTTCTAGGCATTTGTTGCTTTTGCTCTTTCTGCCTCATAATGAATGAATGAGATTCAACCCCCACCAGGACATCCACCAAGCAATAAATACCTGGTGACACAAAGTGCCACCATGCAGATGAGGGTCACCCGGGGAGAGGTCCCAGAAACCCTGTTTAGTCGTTAGGTTTTAGTAGGGCCCCCCTTTACATTCGGGGTAGGCATTTAAAATAATAAAAAAATTGCTTTCCATATTGGGACGACAAATGTGTAACAATTTCTACCTCATACCATTGATTAGGTACCTAATGTAATCGATATGTGGATGCAAAGGGGGTAAAAGTCGACAACCCTATTTGGAGTTAACAATATCTGGGGTGACTGTTAAAGATATAGTGAGTTACTAAGTTCATAACAGGTTCTGAGGCTTGTTTCCTGGCGGTATGCAATTGTATACTGTATCAAACCTTTATTTAAACCTTATTTTTTTTTTAGACTGGTGATTTTCTTACTTGATTGCAAGGACACATAACATAGTATCCTCATGCGAATGTAGAAGGGGCTTCTCTAAAATGAACCTGATACTGAATAGAACTAAATCATTTCTCCTTGGACATTAAATTTCTGCACTGCTGGTTATCAGAATGCTTAGACTTCTTATTCAGTTTAAACCTACAAAATGTCTGCAGTAATGGCTCTAACAGGCCACAATTCTGCAGTGGCTACCAACAAGCAAACAAAAAAGCAAGAAGCGACCTAGAGAAGATGAGAGTTTGTTAGAGGATATTTTAAAAATGTGAACCTTACTGTAATAATAGATACTGGGGTGAGCGCTTGCACCTTTTTCTAGATTAAAAGAAAAGCGTTGGATAGGACACACACTGAGAAAACAGGAGAACAACATAACTAGAATGTCTTTTCATTGGAACCCACAGGGGCATAGGAATAAAGGAAGGCCCAAAAATACATGGAGAAGAGAACAGGAGAATGAAGTTAGAAAGATAGGGAGGACATGGGGAGAGCTCCATGCAATGGCGAAGGATAGAACGACTTGGCATGAGTTGATTGAGGGCCTATGCTCCATTGGGGGATAGAAAGGCAGAAGAAGAAGAAAAGACAAAAATCCCTAAAGAGTTCTATTAGGTTGTTTAATAAATGCATGTCCCTGATATAAATATGTTATGCTATATGATAACTGAAGAGTTTTTCACGACAGAAGCTATTCCATCAACTTCAGCCGTCTGTAGTAAATATGTGATGCTTAAGAACTTACGAATGAGTTGGAAATAAATTGTGTTCCTTTTTTTCTGAAGTCCTCAAGTTGCATGGATGCAGCACATTGCTAGTCAGCCTGAGTGCAACTTCACTGTGACACAACAGCCTCTAAGAGCATCATACACCCACCCTGGCCTCAGCTATTGTGTATTTGACAGAGATGGTGTGTACACAAATTCTTAAATTTGCTGCTTTATGTGTGTATGTGTATTTCTAACATCAGTTTACTATGCTCAATAGTATTTATTTTGTTTTTTGGCTCCATTAATCTGGGCAACACACAGTGTTCTCATCAACTGGCTTAAAATAACCAAATAAATACTGATGAGCATAGTCAACTGATGGCAGAAACCATAAAAAGAACTTGAATGTTTTTCTCAGAAAGTATATACACATGCAGTTATTAATATGAAGCCATCAGTTTTGTTATACAATTATAATGTTACACCACTATAAATGTAATACTTCAGTCAGTATAATGTGTCTGCACTACTGCGTATTTGTTTTGTAAACTAATCAGAGCACTCAAGAAGGAATTATATTTTGTGCTGACACAAGTCTTGCAGCAGATGAAATTTTTAAAATAGCAGAATTTGTTTAAATAACACATGTGGTAGCATGAATATATTGTGGTATGTTGACCAAATACATAACATACTAATAAGTGTAATTCAGTGTAGCCATTTTTGTGTCAAGTAATATCATGTGGGTTATCATAGAAGAGACAGACAGCAGAAGTCAACTGCTGAAAATGCACACTCATCATCGTCATCATCTTGATGAAACAGATTCTAGGTAGAACATTATTCTGATCACACACAGGAAAGCCGCACCATTCTTTGCCAGTCTCATATACATTCATTCCCTGAATGTCGATATCCTGTGGCCACCCTTGTGCCAGTCATTACCTGCAACTTCTTCTAGGAACCATACCCTTCTTAAACCCCCCCCCCCCCCCCCTCCAAAAAAAAACTGGTTCCTGTAGCCATGAATTCTTCATCATTAAATTCATTAAATCCAGGCCATGTGGCCTTGGTGACCATGTTTGTCCACAACCCTGTTCTTATGTATTCTAGTTTTTACCCTCTCATTATGTGTTGAGGGAATGTGGAATGTTTACTGCCGATGTGGGTCATCTGTCAGTTTTGTCTTTGTTAGTTAGTTAGTTTAGAAATCACGAAATTGGACAAATGCTAGGAATAAAGCCAGTCTTACAAGTCATCAGAGAACAACAAATGAAGTGGTTTGGACACCTAACAAGAATGCCCTGGTACTATCTGCCACAGCAAGCCACTCTAAAATATTACAATGGGTATAGAGTGAGTGGAAGACCTCGGAAAAATTGAGTGATGGCATTAAAAACAGCCTAACATAAATTAACATCAGTGTTAATAGTGCTGTTGACAGAACTCATTAGCAAATGTTACATCTTCCCCCGACACTCCAATAAGGTACAAGGTGGAAGAGAAGAAGAAAGTTAGTTTCTGACACACTATCTTCATTACATTTTGTTGTCTGCCCATTCTGTTCTTATCCTTTCTTTGTAAAATCACATCACTGGAGCTTCCAAATAATTGCTCACGGATCTGCCTGCTGTCCATGATTCACCACAATACATTAGAATTTATCCAGGCAGCTTGTAATAATTCTGTTTCCTCTCAGCTGACAGATAGATTACATTATAAAATTGTCCCCAAATAGGGTAGCTCTGGGGTTGACCCACTCACATAAAAATAGATACCAGATCATTTCTGTATTATTGTGGACAATGTCCACTAAGGAGAGGTGATGAGGAAGGGAATTGGTCATTGTCACCTTATATCACCTAAAGGTCTAATGCTTTGCACTCCAGAGACACCGTCTGCTCTAGGATCATTTTTATATTACAGAAAATATTCTTCCTTTAGTAAATAAATCCTAAATACTTGCCTCTAACATAATTATTGTATTTTCTCAGGGAACATTGACGTTTTCAGGCTCCTGTCCTTTATTGCTGACATGCGCTTTTTTCCGGAGTATTACTCCTACACAGACCAAGAGAATAAGTGGTTTCAGTGGGATGGAGTCCTGCATGATCGCACCCTGGTCACCTCATCTCTGCAAGTTGCCTTGTCAAGGAACATACATAACTATCAAGTGCCTAAGTGGCCTTTACAAGCAGAAGTGACTCTAGGATATGTTGGAAAGTCCTCCTTATCAATTTCACTTGCTGTGTACGGTTCTATAAGCCCTGAGCCATTGCTGACCCATCTTATCCAGTTTGTCAGCATAGATACAGAGACCAGAAAACCAATGCCTTTTCCTGATTGGTTCATGAACAAATACACAAAGCAGTGCTCAATGGAAGCAGGTTTTCGTGTTGAGACTTTTCCCAGACCAGCAAAGACTTTCATGCAAAGGAGAGAGGTAATAAATACCCGCTTATCTTCCTGAGATATCTGATGTAGACAATTATACATTGAACATGAGGCGCATAACACAGCTGGAAGGTCCTGGGTTCACATCTTGATGGAGCCACATTTTTTTCAAAAATGACCTTGACTCGCAGGTCGACCCAGACTTAAGTGGGTATCAGGTGCAGTCCTGAGAAGTAAAAGTGGCCGGCGTGACCACATCACCTACAGAGTGCCGATTGGTCTTTAAAAATAGAGGTCTAGCCCTATATTCCCAATACGCCTAAAGGTGTGGAAAAGGGACCTTTACTTTACTTCTACATAACACAGTTCATTTCATAACTCTGTTTTCATCCCACCACTGAATGCTTTTACCCCATCATGAATCAATCTATGTTGAACTTCTTCGATTATCTGGCTCACAATTATCCAGACTCCATATTATCCGGCTGGTTTTTTTCTCTTGGTAATAAATAATGAAAAATTTACTTTGCCAAGATGGTGCATGTGTCACATGATTTTATTTTTCCTGCTCTCAAGTTAGACATTCTAAATGTTATCTTAAAATGTGAACATTATTTGTATTTGTAAACTTCCTCTTTCTGAAATAAATGTTTAAAACATAGTACAATACGTCAGAAATATTGACAAAGTACTGAACCGTACTAAGAGGTCAGAAAATATGAATAGAAGGTTTTGGTATAAAAAGTTCTTCAGAAGTAAAAATTTTTTCAAAACATTTTTATTAACAATTTCTTAAGTGTTTGTAAACAGCTAGCTGTCGAGAGCATTACATGAACTCAATGGATCCAGAGTCAATTCCCAAATGTCTCAGTAAACATGGCAGAACTGAGGCATCACCTCTTATTTACTTGTAAGACTGAGGCATCAACTATTGTTTACTTGTGGTGAGACTGAGGCAACAACTATTGTTTACTTGTGGTGAGACTGAGGCCTCAACTATTGTTTACTTGTGGTGAGACTAAGGCATCACCTCTTGTTTACTTGTGGTGAGACTGAGGCATCAACTATTGTTTACTTGTGGTAAGACTGAGGCATCAACTATTGTTTACTTGTAAGACTGAGGCATCAACTATTGTTTACTTGTGGTGAGACTGAGGCAACAACTATTGTTTACTTGAAAGACTGAGGCATCAACTATTGTTTACTTGTGGTAAGACTGAGGCATCAACTATTGTTTACTTGTGGTGAGACTGAGGCATCAACTATTGTTTACTTGTGGTGAGACTAAGGCATCAACTATTGTTTACTTGTGGTAAGACTGAGGCATCAACTATTGTTTACTTGTGGTGAGACTGAGGCACCAACTATTGTTTACTTGTGGTGAGACTGAGGCAGCAACTATTGTTTGCTTGTGGTGAGACTGAGGCATCAACTACTGTTTACTTGTGAAAAGACTGAGGCACCAACTATTGCTTACATGTGGTGAGACTAAGGCATCAACTATTATTTACTTGTAAGACTGAGGCATCAACTCTTGTTTACTTGTGGTGAGACTGAGGCATCAACTATTGTTTACTTGTGAGACTAAGGCATCAACAATTGTTTACTTGTGGTGAGACTGAGGCATCAACTATTTTTTACTTGTGGTGAGACTGAGGCATCAACTATTTTTACTATTTTAGATGTGGTAAGACTGAGGCATCAACTCTTGTTTACTTGTGGTAGGACCGAGGCATCAACTATTGTTTAATTGTGAGACTAAGGCATCATCTATTGTTTACTTGTGGTGAGACTGAGGTATCAACTATTGTTCACTTGTGGTGAGACTGAGGCATCAACTATTGTTTACTTGTGAGACTGAGGCATCATCTATTGTTTACTTTTGAGACTAAGGCATCATCTTTTGTTCACTTGTGGTGAGACTGAGGCATCAACTATTGTTTACTTGTGGTAAGACTGAGGCATCAACTATTGTTTACTTGTAAGACTGAGGCATCAACTATTGTTTACTTGTGGTGAGACTGAGGCAACAACTATTGTTTACTTGTAAGACTGAGGCATCAACTATTGTTTACTTGTGGTAAGACTAAGGCATCAACTATTGTTTACTTGTGGTGAGACTGAGGCATCAACTATTGTTTACTTGTGGTGAGACTGAGGCATCAACTATTGTTTACTTGTGGTGAGACTGAGGCATCAACTATTGTTTACTTGTAAGACTGAGGCATCAACTATTGTTTACTTGTGGTGAGACTAAGGCATCAACTATTGTTTACTTGTGGTAAGACTGAGGCATCAACTATTGTTTACTTGTGGTAAGACTGAGGCATCAACTATTGTTTACTTGTGGTGAGACTGAGGCATCAACTATTGTTTACTTGTGAGACTGAGGCATCAACTATTGTTTACTTGTGGTGAGACTGAGGCACAAACTATTGTTTACTTGAAAGACTGAGGCATCAACTATTGTTTACTTGTGGTAAGACTGAGGCATCAACTATTGTTTACTTGTAAGACTGAGGCATCAACTATTGTTTACTTGTGGTGAGACTGAGGCAACAACTATTGTTTACTTGTAAGACTGAGGCATCAACTATTGTTTACTTGTGGTAAGACTAAGGCATCAACTATTGTTTACTTGTGGTGAGACTGAGGCATCAACTATTGTTTACTTGTGGTGAGACTGAGGCATCAACTATTGTTTACTTGTGGTGAGACTGAGGCATCAACTATTGTTTACTTGTAAGACTGAGGCATCAACTATTGTTTACTTGTGGTGAGACTAAGGCATCAACTATTGTTTACTTGTGGTAAGACTGAGGCATCAACTATTGTTTACTTGTGGTAAGACTGAGGCATCAACTATTGTTTACTTGTGGTGAGACTGAGGCATCAACTATTGTTTACTTGTGAGACTGAGGCATCAACTATTGTTTACTTGTGGTGAGACTGAGGCACAAACTATTGTTTACTTGTGGTAAGACTGAAGCATCAACTATTGTTTACTTGTGGAAAGACTGAGGCATCAACTATTGTTTACTTGTGGTAAGACTGAGGCATCAACTATTGTTTACTTGTGGTGAGACTGAGGCACCAACTATTGTTTACTTGTGGTGAGACTGAGGCAGCAACTATTGTTTGCTTGTGGTGAGACTGAGGCATCAACTACTGTTTACTTGTGAAAAGACTGAGGCACCAACTATTGCTTACATGTGGTGAGACTAAGGCATCAACTATTGTTTACTTGTGAGACTAAGGCATCAACAATTGTTTACTTGTGGTGAGACTGAGGCATCAACTATTTTTTACTTGTGGTGAGACTGAGGCATCAACTATTTTTACTATTTTAGATGTGGTAAGACTGAGGCATCAACTCTTGTTTACTTGTGGTAGGACCGAGGCATCAACTATTGTTTAATTGTGAGACTAAGGCATCATCTATTGTTTACTTGTGGTGAGACTGAGGTATCAACTATTGTTCACTTGTGGTGAGACTGAGGCATCAACTATTGTTTACTTGTGAGACTGAGGCATCATCTATTGTTTACTTTTGAGACTAAGGCATCATCTATTGTTCACTTGTGGTGAGACTGAGGCATCAACTATTGTTTACTTGTGGTGAGACTGAGGCATCAACTATTGTTTACTTGTGGTGAGACTGAGGCATCAACTATTTTTACTATTTTAGTTATAAGACTCAGGCATCAACTATTGTTTACTTGTGGTGAGACTGAGGCATCAACTATTGTTTACTTGTGGTGAGACTGAGGCATCAACTATTGTTTACTTGTGGTGAGACTGAGGCATCAACTATTGTTTACTTGTGGTGAGACTGAGGCATCAACTATTGTTTACTTGTGAGACTGAGGCATTAACTGTTGTTTACTTGTGGTGACACTGAGGCATCAACTATTTTTACTATTTTAGTTATAAGACTCAGGCATCAACTATTGTTTACTTGTGGTGAGACTGAGGCATCAACTATTGTTTACTTGTGGTGAGACTGAGGCATCAACTATTTTTACTTTTTAGTTATAAGACTCAGGCATCAACTATTGTTTACTTGTGGTGAGACTCAGGCATCAACTATTGTTTACTTGTGGTGAGACTCAGAAATCAACTAATTTTACTATTGTTATTTGTGGTAAGACTGAGGCATCAACTATTGTTTACTTGTGGTAAGACTAAATCATCAACTGTTTTTTACTTGTATGTCATTACAGGTTCTGTACCTGGAGACAGACATAAATAACCATACAAACTTTGCATCTTACGTGCAGTATGCTCTTGATTGTCTTTATGCTGGCATACGGCACCAGAATGTAGCAGAAGTGGGAGCAAGTTCAGCACATGAACTGCGGCTTATCTAATTCTGGTTCTCAGGAGTCAGTAGTTCCAGTGCCTCAGATAACAAAGAGTCGTGGAGGCCTGAGAGAGGGCATGAGAGACATGATCAGAGATGGCCTTAAGGTCTTAAACATTTGTTACGTGAATGAGTGTCATGAAGGCGACATCATTGACGTCCATGTCTGGCAGGAAGACAGTGAAGCCTGCACTGTTCGATGTTCTATAGAGAAAGGATCACAGTTATTGTGTCAGCTAAGATTAGAGTATTTTGCTCCACTGGCAAAACTCTGATGGCAAAACATCCTCACACACCTTGCATATTTTCTGTATTAGCGTTTACGTGTTACCATCATTGAATGAGTTAGGTGAAACTAGAAAATTGGGTGAAAACTGGAGAAAACAATGACTAGGGGATTTGGAAGCGAGGAATGTCTACGACACACACCATTGAATAAACTGACAGATTGCATATGCCAGAAACAGAAGCATGACATCTGGCCTGTTATAAAAGCAGAAATATCAAGTCGGTTGTGGGATCAAAGTTTACTTGTAGCAAGACTAAGGCATCAACTATTGTCAAATGAAAAGCTACTGGATGATTTATCCAGATATTTTGTCATTTTCTGCTCCAGTTCCTAGCAAACTTTATTCAGGGTTTTAGCTTAAGACCTGCCTTTTCTGGACTTGTTTATTTTTTGGAAGCTTCAATCAACATACTGTTCATACAAAAACTGGTCGGTAGTCATCTTTTTCCTCGGCTGTTGAAACTGCCAGCAGTAAAAGGTTATTCACCTACACAATATTAACTGAAGAGATACCTCGGTGAAGCCTCACATCAGGTGCCCAATGCTTGTGTGTATTTAAAAGATTATGAAAGCTTTCCAGAAAATGTCCAAACAAGTAATTAATTTTTTTCTTTTTGCCCATATTTATTTTCTGCCTGAGATTGATATTCAACCATTGTTTACTTTGTTGCTGGAATTGTAACTGTTGATTTCTGTGTGTCCCAGCCATGTGAGCAAGCCTTCGAAGATTGAGTCTTGAGAAAAACCATATATCAGCTCTTCCCAAAACCTTAGTATTTCTGACAGTTATCGGTTTTATAGAATCCCATGTTACCATAAACTATTATCCTGGCATATATAAAATATAGGCAAAAACTTACACAATGAAGACAAGGAATGAATAAATTAAAACCAGCTGTTTTATTTTTGGTATTGAACAATTCATTAGATCTTCCAATTACAAATACTGGATGGGTGAGTACAGATGGCAAAGTGAAGAACTTCATTGTAATATCTCACATAATAACAGATGGCCAAGTGAACACCTTCACTGTAGCAACTCACATACTGGATCAACTGTGACACCATGCTCTACCAGAAAGTCTCTGACAGCACAAACTCCTTGCCCTGGTACAGTGCTACAAGCTGAGACCGACTGCCACCAGCTCTGTGCAATCATCTTCTCATGTGCAGACAATTCTCATACATCAAATTCATGGAAAATACAAAATGCACTTCAAGTGTGGTGTCACTGAAGAAAACCAATAAGGAGTTATCTGATGTAAAAAGTTTCACTTTCTCTGGCAGTACTGATCAATCTGTCAACAGGGGCGCCACTTCGGTGCAGTGCTGTTTGTTCGCTGGCCCAAAGGTCAGATGTGAATCCACATCAAAGCTGATTTTCATTTGACCCAGCCTAAAACTGGTAAGGTCCTGGGAAGTAAAGGTGGCTGACAGGATGTTAACCACATCACTCATCAAGTGCTTATTGCACTATACACATATACGGGTGATAGGTCTGATGCCATATCTAAATTTACCGATGGTAAGAAAATTATACTTGACCTTACATGTCAACACGTGTGATTATTCAAATGTGCTTTCTATAAAAAAAATTTTTTTTTTGTAAATGTTTTGCTCGACTTTTTGAGTTTCAACAACTGCATTCACAGTCGCTGTTCAAAAAGTAGTCACAGCTGTTTCATCATGTGAACACACTGGAAAAATTAACAATAACAGCTACATCTGATCATGAATGAATCTGAAAGCATTCAGTTAGTACTGACAATGTCATTTGGTTAGTACTGACAATGTATCAGTGCAGCTGAGGTGTAAACCTGGCTTTTATTAAACAAGACTTCAGCTGCATCCTGGGTAGACATCAACTTGGGAGGGGGAGGTGGGGGACAGCTACCAGGGAATCAGTAACTCACTGGGCACTCAACAACTCACACACAACATTCACAATGAATGAATGCACTTGATGAGTCCTGCTGATTAATTAACCAACAGTAGTCACTTTTCTTACCCTTACAGCTATTTTTAAATATATGATATCACAACATCTAGTATGAGAATGGAGGTGGAGGCAATCACTGCAGCCTTCAACTGGCTTGGGATTGGGAATACACATTTTGTGATTGTAACAGACTCAAAGCATGCTCAGAAAGGTGGAGATAAAAGTATGCCCTATGCAGAATGGCAAGCATATCTTTAGAGGTCCCGAGTAGTTAGGGTCCTTTTGATATTTTCTCCAGGGTGTGTGTTGGAAAATTAACAGGTTGGCAGACTGGCTGGTTTTGCATCATTTGGTGGTAAGCTGGTGCAATACAAGCTAGATGTCGAGATTCTTTGTGACAGAGTGAACAGTGCATGGCCACAAAACAGGTCATCCCAGTCTGTAGAGATTGGTGCTACTAGGAGTGACCAGGAGATCTGGACCACACTGAACAGCAAGATCAGTTGTGCTCAAAATCAAAGATGCCAGGAAGGCTCAGAGTGTAGCAGACAACACCTTCTGCTGTCTGTCCAGCATTGGTTAGTTCACAGGCTGGACCCTGGCAGTGGCTGTCTGTCCAGCATTGGTTAGTTCACAGGCTGGACCCTGGCAGTGGCTTTCTTATATGCCTGCAAACTCACTGCATTCAGTGATATGGATCAACAAGGCAAGAACCTGATATGCTCCTTAAGATAACTGATCCTCATGGTCTGACAATTGTGTAGCAGAGCAACCAATGGATCTGGCAGACAATCAACACTCAAGGGGGTGGGGAGGGGGGGTGGTTACAATCAGACAGCTGCTGGTTGGCATCAGAACTGGAATTCAGCTCTGGATTTTGAAGATGCAGACAGAACGATAGGGGAATACCCCATGTGCTATGATGCTGATTCTCAATTCAACTCTTGACTTAAGAGAGCAACTAAGTTTGTTTGATGTGGGAAGATCTTCCCCAGATTGTATTTTCTGTGAGTGGCAGGTAGGAACTCACATCATAGCAAAACCTCCTGGATAGCTGAGACCTGTCAACATCACAACAGTTGTTCAAAAACCCGTACTTTGAAGTCTGGCTGTACGCTGCAGTTCTGTACCAAGAAGGTGCTTCTGTGTACATCACTGATGCTGGAAGAGACACAGAAGAAGCATATCTTCCCGACATGCTGAGGTAATTTTTCTGCACCTAGCAATTTATTGCTTTCCAAATCTGCCCACACACACACACAAGTGGGGAGCTAAGGGCACATCAACTCAATATTTTTAACTTTTGACTGTTCAACAGCTATCACCTCTGCAGGTTCACAGAACACAAACACACACAAAGCGACTAGGAAGTTTTACAACGGATGCCCCCTGTTTCTGATATTTCTTTGCATTCAATTGAGATTGTCAACTACCACATGCTTGATACTGGTAACTGGATCAGCAACCCCTGGCCTCAACAATTTATTTTTTAAATAATAAATTCCCAGCCTATAAGTAAAATGTACTATTCTTTCTAAATATGCAACTTCACTGAGCGATCATTTAATATGTATTTCAAAACAAGCACTGGAACCATCCCCCCCCCCCCCACAAAAAATGAAAGAACTTATTTGGTAATTTAAAAAAACCTTCACTGACTCTTTAACATTTTGTATATGTACAAATATATTTACTAGCAAACCAAATGCTATTGCAAATATAATAAATATTGGGTGTCAGAACAGAGATGCTCCTTAATGGAAATAAAATCAACTAAATATTACAATTTCTGAAATTTAAAAAACTTGTTAATTGTTTATGGTATCATTGAAGCTGTGTGCCTGGAACATTCACTGGCAACCACTCACGCTCACACAGACCAGGTCTATTGGATGGTTCTCTCCCTCCCTTCCCCAATCTAATGCTTAGACTTCACATTCTGGTTCACAAGTGACAGTGTTAACTTGCATGTCTCCCAGCACTGCCACTACCCCAACCAATAGCAGGAACAGTATCCCTATCAGCATCATACACTTTTATGCAGCTTCTTGCCTTCCACAACCTGCTGAATCTCATCTTTGTCTAAAGTCTCGTACTTGATCAGTGCTTGTGCCAGGTTGTTCAGTTCTGTGTTGTGCTGTTTCAGAATGCTCTTCGCTCTGTCATAGGACTCCTGTTCAGAGGATAATAAACAACATTCATGTGGCTAAAACACGGATGGGAGTAAGTGGAGGGAAGGGAGGGAGGGGGAGAGACTAACAATAACAACAAAGAAGAGAGAACAACTTGACAGAAATGCCTTCACAGATGTACAGAGAGGGCAGCATCAGTTATAGACTATATAAAACATCAGCAAATCAGATGATATGGTCATGGAGGACAGTGATCATGAGACAATTCTCTGACAATCTGACACAATATAAAGTAAAACAGAACAAGCCGTAGCATCAACAAATGATGTATCTGAAGCTGTAAATAAAACCATGCAAGAAGCACACATTTTGAACAGTCTTGCAAACAAGAGCCCGTGGATGTACATCTACAACATCAATGTTTTTTTTTTAAAGGATGACTAGCTAATGACAATTTATGACCCCAACTATTAGAGAACTGTCAATGAGACTGACCCTAATTAAGAAAGAAATGTCACTGAGATCTTAAATTTGGTAGTTTAGTCCCTTTCAATATAGATAATACTCAAAATGACACAGACAGCCATCAATAATCAACCTTTAATAGACGTTGGAAAAAAAAAAAAAACTTTTTTTTTAAAAAAAATAAACTAAACTAAACTGCTTCATAGGCCAATTAGACTTTTTCATCAGAATTGTTCTTCTTCTTCTTCTGCAATCGTTCTTAAAAGGGTAGCAGGTAGTTTGTGTTGTGGTTTACAGCTGGGTGACCTTTCACAATACGTTTTTAGGGAGAAGAGCAGTAGGTCTTTTCTTTTGTTTCTTTAAAATGGAGGTTCAGGAACCACCACTGCTTTTTAATGGTTTAGGAAATGCAACAGGTTTTATGGTGGTAAAATGTGGAGAATATACTGGTTATTTGAAGAATGTTATACACAAAGTTTCACTGGGGGAGAGAATCAAGTGGTTGTTTCATTAGCTGTATAAGCCATGCTTTGTGAGAGGATGAGCTAACCTGAAAGAAGGACAGATCTGAAAGCCTGATATCCTTAGCTGTTTGCTCACAACCTGTCATTATAAAACAGGATGCAATGAAGTCGTTACTCTCTGCGTAACTTTTTTCTTTGTTAACATTTGGAACTCCAAAATAATGGCAGCATCACTTCTGCTGCAGATGTGTGTGCTCTAAGCTTGACAGATACTCTTGAGTTTCCATCACAGGCTGGAGATTTCAGAATGGGTGTCATAATGCTGGACCAGGAGTTTGCAATGCATGCTGGAGAATTCAGAATGGGTCATAATGGTGAATGCAAGTCTCATTTACTGTCACCTGAACATCCACGTTTTACTGACTAAGACTTCTACTCTTCTGAGGAACTGCCTTCCGCAATTTTCTTATTTGCTTGAGTTTCTTCATCATCTGTGTTCACCGTCTGTAAGTTCCAGCAGAATGTCTTAGTTGTTCATTTGGACTCTGGCTTTGTGGGTCTGAGTTTTGCATGTACATCTGTTTTACTCGATTATTTGTGTGCAACAATGCACTCCGACTTAGACAGAAGCTCCAAATTAGTCGACTCTTACAACATAATATTTTGGGTGGACAGTGGGTCTGTTCTTGATTTCCACATTATGGGGTCCCACAACACACATGAGGAGTTTGCTTGGGTTCATAGTCGCTGTCTCAGCTTGCAATGCACTAACCACAATGCACTGCAGCTTCTGGTAATCAAGATGCTATACAATCACAACCCATACAGTGACACATACAGAAACACAACAAGTAAATATGGGTGTTATACTGATTCAAATGTTTAAACCCATACAGTGACACAAACACAACAAGTAAATATGGGTGCTATACTGATTCAAATGTTTAAACCCATACAGTGACACATAAAGAAACACAACAAGTAAATATGGGTGTTAAACTGATTAAAATGTTTAAAAAATATTATTTAAAAAAACTGACCTGAAGAAACCTTCTGATTTCCAAGTCAATGACCTCTCTCTGGCCTGGACTAATTTCTGTATCCACGAATGACCTCAATCCAACCTGGCACAAGAAACACATGGCAACTATAAAACATGTCAATAAACAACAACATCAATAATAATAATACAATAAAAGAAGAGATCTAGAGATTAAGTATTTCAGTCTTACAATCCAAGAGTTTTAATTTCCAAAAGCTACTGTGTTCAGTTAAAGATGATATAAAGTCAGACCCTTCTGGGCTCCAACAAGAGATGTACACAGCCCACACTGGCATATCAGATAACAGACTATTTATTAACCTCCTTCAATACACAGCAACTCACCATATGTTTCTTTGTTACGCTATTCAGGCTAAACATTTCTCCATTTCTTCTGTCCGGTTCTTCTTGCTGGGTGATCCATGTTATCAAAACTGTCATTTTATCCCTTTATACTCAATACTTTCATTTCCTTAATGACATAAAGGATCTGCAGTGGCGCAATAGCTAGTTACCTGCCAGCACAAAGCTTTTGGGTTTAAATCTGCACTGAAGCTGATGTGTACAACTGAGCTTGGCTCCAAGGTCAACCCAGCTTGAAGTAGGTCATAGGGAATGTTTGTTATTTTACTGACACATAAATGACAAGAATGTTGGCAGTCTGCAAATCAAAACAAAGAAAATCCTGAACAGTGTCCATTCTGGTGCTTCTGTCATTGTCATCACATAAATGTTTCCTATAGAAAACTGTTGACAGACAAGAGAATCAACTTTACAGCAGCAGGTTTTGTTCCACACTGCTGAGTCTGTCATCCACAAGAGCACTGTATAAAGTACACACTGTTGGTCATCCACAAGAGCACTGCACAAAAGACACTGTTGGTCACCCACAAGAGCACTGTACAAAGCACACACTGTTGGTCACCCACAAGAGCACTGCACAAAAGACACTGTTGGTCATCCACAAGAGCACTGCACAAAAGACACTGTTGGTCACCCACAAGAGCACTGTACAAAGCACACACTGTTGGTCACCCATAAGAGCACTGTACAAAGCACACGTACAAAGTACACACTGTTGATCACCCACAAGAGCACTGTATAAAGTACACACTGTTGGTCACCCACAAGAGCACTGTACAAAGTACACACTGTTGGTCACCCACAAGAGCACTGTACAAAGTACACACTGTTGGTCACCCACAAGAGCACTGTACAAAGTACACACTGTTGGTCACCCACAAGAGCACTGTACAAAGTACACACTGTTGGTCACCCACAAGAGCACTGTACAAAGTACACACTGTTGGTCACCCACAAGAGCACTGTACAAAGTACACACTGTTGGTCACCTACAAGAGCACTGTACAAAGTACACACTGTTGGTCACCCACAAGAGCACTGTACAAAGTACACACTGTTGGTCACCCACAAGATCACTGTACAAAGTACACACTGTTGGTCACCCACAAGAGCACTGTACAAAGTACACACTGTTGGTCACCCACAAGAGCACTGTACAAAGTACACTGTTGGTCACCCACAAGAGCACTGTATAAAGTACACACTGTTGATCACCCACAAGAGCACTGCACAAAGTACACACTGTTGGTCACCCACAAGAGCACTGTACAAAGCACTGACTCTATTGGTCACCCATAAGAGCACTGCACAAAGTACAATCTCTGTTGGTCACATACAAAAGTGTTGCTCAAATTATAAACCAGCAATGACCCCCAGCCATCTCTAAAATACCTGCACCCATTACTCTAGAGGCTAGTCACAGCAGGAGGCAAATGGCTAACCCATTTTGCCATGAAGACCCCATGAAGAGAAGAATCACAGATCCAGTGACCACTGACCTTATCTGACATGCCGTTGACCATCACCATTGAAGTGGCAATCCTTGTAGCCTGTTGCAGGTCATTGGATGCTCCTGTGGTCACCTTTTCAGTTCCGTAGATCAACTCCTCTGCTGCTCTGCCTCCCATGGCAGTGTCCATAGAGGCTTTCAGCTGGGACACTGTTTTGTTGTAGACCTCTTTCTCATCAATAAATGCAGTCTGAAGGACACAGGCAGAATCTCTAGTATATGCACATGACTGAACATAAAGGTTGTAGTTTCTGAATGACCTATATACAAGGGCCTATATGAAGTCTTTACCACACACACAAAACTTTATATTTTTTGTGTGGAGATGTTCACCATCATGTGCCACCATAGTGGCACATGTGATCCTGTTGCTAAACAACCACACATCAACAATTTCACTGCTTATCCCCCGCCTTGTTAAAAAAAAAAACTTCAACCACTTTTCAACCGCTGACAACCCTCGTTTTTAGCACCGTGAATATTTATCATCATCACACTGTTCTCGGAATCAGGTAATAGCAGTTTCAACTTCAAGGCTAACGGGTCACTCCTTAGTTAATCCATTCCTATGCCAATGAGAAATGGCAGAGAAGTCCATCACGGTGCACAGTGAAAACATTGACATGCTGCAGTCTTAGCAAATCAAACATCATATATGTTCATTTATTGCATAAGGCAGTGGTCAGTGACAACTCAAACAGTCCGACACCAGAAATGTAGTTCACCGTTGAAAGCTTCTCTCTGACCTCTGCAAATAATGACAACAATGGGAAATAAAACATAAGACACATCTGTGGACTATATCTGAACTGAGGCTCCTACAGCTTCCTCTGCTATGATGGTATCTTTACACTTAGACTGGTAACAAAATGATCTTCTTCTTCTTAGCATTCACTGGCTGTAAACTGTGGCAGAAAGTCCTGGTTGTTTGTCCACTTCTGGATTTTGATCTTGTTCCAGAGCTTCAGTTTTGTGTGCAAATCCATTTTACAGATCTGGCTTACTTGTAAGCAGCCTCCCCGACATATGCACTTGACCTAGTACTCCAACTTATAATAAAACACAGTAAAAAGTCTTCTTTTACAATATGCTTGTTAAGGAGCAGTGGATTAGGTAGGTTCACATTAATCTCCCTAAACAAAGTAGGTCACTTTTTATTCACGTTTGTTAGGCTGGTCAACTGGCGTACTGAAATATATAACATGCAATATCAACGGCATTGTGGGACGCCCCCATAACCTTGTGCTAAGGTGACAGATTCAGGAACTACCAATGAGAAGTGAGCTAGTTTGTATAACGTAATTTTAACCAAAGCAGTGGGTCCATTCTTTTCCTTCACAAAATGGGGTCCCAGAACCCTCATAGGAAACAAAATGACCACTGGTGCCAGTGTTCTCAATCTGTTGACAATCACGGCACATGGACTCACACAGACTAGTTGGCAACTGCTGATAAACTTGGAGGTACATGGACAGGTACAGACTTGCCGATAACTGTTGACAATCCTGACACATGGACACACACAGACTAGTTGGCAACTGTTGACAATCATGGCACATGGATACACACAGACTAGTTGGTAATCGTTGACAATCATGGCAAATGGACACACACAGACTAGTTGGTAATCATTGACAATCATGGCACACGGACACACAGACTAGTTGGTAACCGTTGACAATCATGGCACATTAGCCCAACAATTAGACATGCATTGAGCAGAGTGATTCACAATCATGACATAAACACCACAGTTTTGTGTTCACGATCATGACACACAAATACAGCAGTTATGCGTTCACAATCACGACATACAAACACAGCAGTTGTTTGTTCACAATCATGACACACAAACACAGCAATTTTGTGTTCACAATCACGACACAAAAACAGCAGTTTATTCACAATCATGACATACAAACACAGCAGTTGTGTGTTCACAATCATGACACATAAACAAAGCTCAACAGCTATCTTTGGTCCCTTTACAAGATACGTACATGACCTAATGATTGACCCCTGGGTATGATGGTCACTTTGTGTAGTGGTGTGGAATCCTTGGTGAAGTAAGACACCAGGGTGTGACCTGCTTCATGATAGGCTGTTAACCAGTTGGTTTCTTCATCAGGGATCCTGTTCTTTCTCTCAGGACCTGCCCACAATAGTCACAGATTCACAGTCAGATATATATATATATGTATCTTGTGTATATATATATACATACATATATATATATTTTTTTTTTAAGGTTTAAACAAAGTTAAACATCATGGCACAAGGGTAGTAACCCATAAGTGCTCTGTTTTACTTCAAACTCAAACCCTAAGAATCTCAGCGCAGTGAATGAACTCCATAGCACTGGCGAGGATCCTGGAATACTTTGGGTGGATTTTTAACTTCAATTTTTTGCCCAGGCCGCGCCGTTAGGCTACTCTTTTCTATTGCCAACTGCAAAGCGATTTTTTACGTGCGCAACAATGCACACGGGCGTCTGATCTTACTACCCAGACACCAGAGGAATTCCAGCCTTCACCTGGGGTTGAACCCCGGGCCTTCAGCACTCAAGGCAGAGATCTTTTGTTTTTTCTGCCCACAATAGTCATAGATTCACAGAGTCAGACATATGCTCATATTAAAGATGTTTTATCTGCACACAATAGTCACAGATTCACAATCAGACATATGCTCATATTAAAGATGTTTTATCTGCACACAATAGTCACAGATTCACAGTCAGACATATGCTCATATTAAAGATGTTTGATCTCCACACAACAGTCACAGATTCACAGACTCCGACACATATACTTTATCAGCCTACAGTAGTCATGGATTTACAGTCAGATATTTGCTCACATTAAAGATCGTTAATCTTTTTCTTCTTCGTGTTCACCAGCTGTAAACTCTGGCGGAAGGTTCTGGTTGTTCGTCCATTACTAAAATGCAGTCCTGCTCCAGAACCTGAGTGCTGCGTGTGCATCAGTTTTACAGATCTCATTCTCTTGAATACAGACTGTTGGTTCCTTGCCTCTTCGGCAGATGCACTCCGACTTCAAAGGAAGCTCCCCAATTAGTCGACTCTTACGACATGCTTTTGGGGAGGCAGTGGGTCTATTCTTGTTTTCCCCACAATGGGGCAAAGGAAACCCACACGAGGGAAAGCTTTAATATTCTATTCATAACTCATAATGTGTGTAAAGAAACCAACAAAATGGCTACAAAATGCAAAGGAGAAGAAGACCCAAAGCCTAATAGTTTTATTAAAGAATTACTTTTTGCGGAAGATCAAGCACTAACTGCTACTTCACAAATAGAACTTCAAGAAAACATAAATGAATAATCCAAATTTGCAAAGAGGATAATATGAAAATTAACACCTACTAAAGAGAGGTCATGACCACAACTAAAGAGTACTAAACAATAAATATCGAGATTACAAAACACCTGTTGAAACAAACCAGGAATTTGAGATACAGAGGAAGCATAATAATATCAGCTGGTAAATTAGAAGATGAGATCGGTGACAGATGTAACAGAGTAAAACAACTATCGGGCAATTGGCACCAAAACTGAGAAACAAACATTGCCTGTAGAAACCAAAAGAGCACTTTATGACAAAATTCTTGCCAACCCTGGAACAATTACAGAATAAGGTTAGTTGCGTATCCTTTACAGGACGTTGCAGAACCAACCCTAACAGCACCTGGCTGTTGTGTGGTTCTTCTAGGCAAATTCACATCCAGTAGTATGCCATTGCTTTCTGGACGGTCGGCTTTTTGGATACCACTGTCGAAACCAACGCCAAGGCAGATGGCCCACAGCTGGGATCATACCTGACATCCCGGCATTACGAAGCGTTCGCATCGACTTAGCCACAGAGCCGACTACTGAATAAGAGAAAAGAAAAATTACAATAAATGAATTTAGATCCTGCGAACAGCTCCTAATATTAACCAGAAGAGATCAGATCAGAAACAATGAAATCTGAAGGAAAATATGGGTAGCGGCAGCTCTGGATCAACAAGTGAAATGGTTTTGGCCAGGTAACGCTGATACCAACAAACCGTATATTACAGCAAGCAATGATGTACAAACCAGATGGGGAGTCAAGCAGAGGCAAACCATGCAAGTGATGGACAGACAGAATAACAGAGTCCCTGGAATCAACACTTATGAAGCACTTTCAAGCACTTTCCCATAAATGATTCTTCACCTTGACACCTCGAGGTATAAGAGGATCAAGGTGAGATGAGAGATCGTTTGTTTTATTTGCCCACAACAGTCACAGATTCATTCAGATATTTTCTTACCAATACTTTAGGCATCGTCAGATATCTGAACTACTCTATCTGTGGACTACTTTATCTGTTATGTGTGTGTAGAATGCTTTATCTGTTGTGTGCCGCACATTTCATTATCTACAAAACTTCTAGTCATATAGAGATACATACATAAACAAACAACAGTGAAGAGAATACTGTGATACCAAATGTTCAGGATAATAATATGCGGTGGACCAAATAGATTTCTATAAAAAATCTATCACAGCAGGCATATAAACAACTGAAGACAGTGGCACAGGGTAGACAACAATGTAATGATGGTGATTAACTCATTCAGCCTCTGAAACAGATGAGTGTCGATTGCTATTCAGTATGAATACAAACCATCACATAATGTATTCCTTGACTGTTTTCAGTTAGTCACAACATACTAGGAAAACCTGGCATAACCAACCAGTGTTCCCCCCTACTGTGTAATTTAGCTACAAACAACTACAAATGTTAACAATGATTTCCTTCCTGGGGAACCTGTTGCCAGTCTTTATGTACTGAACAAGTATAATAAATGAAAGGGCACACCATGGAAATAAAACAAGACACATCACCAGAAACAAAAATGACCACACATTCATACCCATCAGGATTTTGTCTCTGGCAAAATCAAGGTGACTCATGGTGACAGTTTCCCGACCATCAATGACAGCTTTCAAGGCTGCCTGGTTGATCAAATTTTCCAACTCTGCACCTGCCAGACAAAATGACACCAACCATTCACTTACTCTTCTATAGAAAGGTATACAGTTACCTCTTTCACTGATACTCTGAAGTCTGCAAGCATAAACAAACAGTCTAGGGATGTCAGATCTCAGTGATCATTTCCACCAAGTATGCAAATGTTTCTGTTGTACTATCCACCTGATCCCAAGAAACTTCCCCACGTCCACCTTATCAGAATGTAACCTGCCACCCAGAGCAGTAGTAGCCAATCCACCAGCATGTCCAATGAGGCACACAGCCCAGACAGACAATCTGTGGTATGTTGCTGACCTGAGCCCCACAAGTCACTCCACACACAGCATAGTCACATATTTCACTAGACAAGCAGAAACATACTTCTCAGATAGTGCCCCCATCCCCCAAGCAAGCTTGGTTTTCCAGCTGAACAAAAATGTAAAATTTTCTCGTGGGGAAAAACTCCAGTTACAACCCAGATGCTGCAACAAGCCATAATCAAGATGTAAGCAGATTTTTCATCTCCTTATCAGCTAAGCTTTGTTCCCTACCTGGCTCAGAAATTGTGAAAATGGAATGGAGGAATAGACTGCGAGCTCTATGTGATGTAAACAGCACAATTGGATTCTTCATCGTGTTCAGAGGCTTGTAAACTTTAGTCACGACTTAAGTCAGAACATCCATCCATTAAAGAGATCTGGCCTCTCTGTATACAAACTGTTGGTTCCTCGTCTCTCAAGTAGATGCACTCTGACTTCAAAGGAAACACCCCTATTTAGTCGACTTTTATGACAAGCTTGTTAGTTGGGTAGTGGGTCCATTCTTTTTCTCCCCACAGTGGGGTCCCGGAACCCATACAGGGAGTACAAAAGAATTATGATGATGTTTGAAAATGTTAGACCTAACCTGCTGATTACACCCATATATATAAAAACCTGTGCACGCACATACACACACTCACAATGCCTACAAATCAAATTAAAATCAAACGTACCTGAAAACCCAGTAGTTCCCCTGGCAAGCTTATCTACATCGACATCTGTGGACACAAGTGCAATCAAATCAGAACTGCTGGAAAAACACTCAACAGTTACCTCCATATCAAGATTAAAACAATCAAGTGTGACAAGCAAAAATCAAATAATGAAGATTGTCACAAGTCAACTACAACTTTATATATGCAAGTACCACCACAAGCAAACACTGTCAATCAACATGTGTAAGGTGACAAGACATTTGAAGAACGTTCTTCTTCTTCTTCTTCTTCACTTCCTCTTTTACCGCTGTGGGTGTCGAGGGAGATATAAGGTTCTGTTTCTAGCTCTTCTGGCTGCATCAACCATAGGCACATTGTGCTGTTGTAGAGTTTCTCTGATGTTATCCTTCCATCTTGTTCTTGGTCTACCCCGTGCTCTACGTCCTTCTTCTCTTTCCATGTATGCTTTGTATGGTATGGTGTCACAAGGCATTCTCTCTAAGTGGGCAAACCATTTCACTTGCTGTCTTTGTATGTAATCCAGAATTGGTTCTGTGCCGACTTGTTCTCTTATGATCTCATTCCTGATCTTATCTCTTATGGCCACTCCTACAGCCCTTCTCAGACATCTCATTTCCGTGGTTACTAATTTTCTTTTATGGTTTGTTGTGAGTGACCATGTCTGGCACTGGTAGCACAGAGTTGGAATAAATATGCTTTGAATAAGATGTCTGTGCTGATTGGGATTGACTTATGCTGTAAGAGGGGGGCTAGCTGTCCCAATGCTTGGTTTGCTTTACTGCATCTAATGTCAATTTCTATATCCAATTTCCCATCTTCGGTAAATGTAGTTCCCAGATATTTAAACTCAGATGCCTGTTTAATGCCTTTGTATTCTATTGCTATGTTTAGATCTGTCTTCTTTTTTCCTATTGACATTACTTCTGTCTTTTCAGTGTTGATTCTCACATTATTTGTTTTACATTCTTCATTCATGGATGTTAGATGTTGTTGCAATTTCATGGCTGTATCTGCTATCAAAGCCTGGTCATCTGCAAAGAGTAATTCGTTGATCTTACTAAGATCTTCATTCATGGGCTTGGCATTCTTGCATATACTGTCGATGTAGGTGATAAACAGCAGTGGTGATAAGACACACCCCTGTCTTACTCCAGATGTCACTGTGAAAGGATGAGATGTTCCCTGATTTATTCTAACTACACTTCTACAATTCCTGTATAAACTTTTGCACACTTCGATGAGGTGTTAGCTTACTCCATATCTTGAAATTATTTTCCATAATAATTGTCTATCGACTCTGTCAAATGCCTTCTCCTGGTCTATGAATGCCACAAATAAGTTCTTATTGTATTCAATGTTCTTTTCTGTTAACTGTTTAAGTGTGAAGATTGCATCTGTGCAGCTTCTATTTCTCCTAAATCCCATCTGTTCTTCTGCCAGCTGTGGTTCTATCACTGGTCTCAGTCTTGTTTCTATTATCTTGGCATAAATTTTGCCAACATGGCTTAAAAGAGAGATGCCTCGATATTGACCGCATTCTCGTTTGCTTCCTTTGTTCTTCCACAATGGTATAACTATTGCATGTTGCCAATCAATAGGGGCCGCTTGTTGTACCCATGCTGCATTAAATATTCTGTGAAGCCATCTGATGCTGCTTTCACCTGCTGCTTGAATTATTTCTGTTGGTAATCTATCAGCTCCTGGTGCTTTATATTTGGGAGACTGTTTAATGACTTTTTCTATTTCATCCATTAGTATGTGTGGTTCTAACACTGTTGCTCTGTGCTCTTCAGTTGTTCTTTCCTGATGATCTCCTAGAGGATTAAAGAGCTCGTTGAAGTATTCCCTCCATCTTTCTGCAATCTCGGGTGGATCTATCAATAGCCTTCCTGTCTTATCATGAATTATTTCAGTGGGGTTGTAGCTCCCATCTCTTTTCCGCATATTTTTAACTACTTTGAAAAATTTTCTGCTGGCTGTTTTCTCATTTTCTGCTAGTGACTCACCGAAACGTTCCCAGGATGCTTGTTTTGCTTTCTTGACACTCCTGTTGGTTTCTCTCCTTTGCAGTCTATAGTTTATATAATCTTCTTCTTTCTTTGATTTTATCCACTGTTTATTTAAGTCTTTTTTCTTTTTAATTGCTTCTTTTACTTCTTCGCATCACCAAGGTGAATATTTGTTATTTCCCCATCTGTTTCCACTCTTCCGTTTTCCACATAATTCTTCTGCAATACTAAGCATGGTGTTTTTATATATACTCCATTCTTCCTCAATATTGCCAACTACATGTGGAAGTTGTTTGAATGCTGTCTCTACTTTCTGTTGTAACTGTTCTTTTACTCCTTCCTGTTTCAGGTTTGCTATCTTGATGAGATCCTTGCTTTTGTTTAATTTCTTTCTGTGTTTCTTTAATGTAAGATGTTTTGCTGTTAACACAACTATTTTATGGTCAGTGTCACATAGACCATTAGGGATTGCTTTTGAATCAAGAATTCTCCTTCTTCCTTGAACTCTGGTAAGTATAAAGTCAATCTGGCTCTTGATGGAGACATCATTCCATTTGTACCAAGTGTAAAGTATGGTCAAAGAATGTGTTCGTAATAAAAAGATTGTGCTGGCTGCATAGATCTAATATTCTTTGACCATTTCCATTTCTAGCACTGTTCTTAGCTGCATATGGACCTAAAAACTGTTCGTATTCTCTTCTGTTATTTCCTACCCTCCCCTTGAAGTCCCATTACATATAGTATGCTGCTTCCCTCAACTTTCTTAATCTCATCATCAGACAGATCGTCAAAGAATTCATCTTTCTGCTCTTCTGTATAATTATCATTGCATGGTGCATATATCTGTATATGTTTCAGCTTTTTCTCCTCTTTTAATTTTTAAAGTAATAATTCTATCTGAGTGATAATGTATGTCTAATATGTAGTTAGATATGTCCGGATGTACCAGGAAACCCACTCCATTCTTCGATGTTTCTCCTCCTGCATGTGTTAGTAAGTAGCCTCTGTGTATTTTCTTATTAATATTTTCCTTGCGTCTTATGTCAGCTAGCCCCATTAACTTGATTTTCCTTTTTTTCCATCATTTCAATAATCTCTTCTGTTTTATTTCCCAGGCCAGCGGTGTTAAGTGTTGCAATCTTGTATTTCGCGAAGAATGTTCACATCTATGAAAACACAATGTTCCTATGATATATACACAGTATCAATTATCTTTCTTCTATCCAGTGAAAATCTTGTTTTAGGCAGTCCCATCACCTTCAACAAATAGGAGAATCTAGTTCTTCAATATCCACATTATTCTCGGGCATCCTTTTACTGCTGACCCTCCTACATGGGATAAAATTGTTTCTACTTGACCAACCAATTCCTTCAGTTCTGCTGCGTTTTCTACTAATAATTAAGGTCATACCACTAGCACAAAAGGTGGAAAAAAGAGTTTTTCCTGGCATATATTCTTCTTCCTTGTATTCACCAGCTCTAAATTCTGGCTTAATGTTTTGGTTGTTCATCCACATCTGGACTTTAGTCTTATTTCAAAACTTATGCTTCTTCTTCTTCTTTGTTCACCGGCTGTAAGCGCCGGCAGAAAGTCCTGGTTGTTCGTTCATCTTTGGCTTTGTGCCAACAATTATGTACAAGTCTTTTGGAATGGTTGAGGGCCTACACTCTAGTGGGGAATGCAACCAATTAGCTATGTAAAAGTCTGTCTATACAGACTTGGCACAGTTTGCCAGAGGGTTTACACCCTAGCGGGGAATACAACCAATTAGCTATGTAAAAGTCTGTCTATATAGACTTGGCACAGTTTGCCAGAGGGCCTACACTCTAGTGGGGAATACAACCAATTAGCTATGTAAAAGTATGTCTTTACAGACTTGGCACAGTTTGCCAGAGGGCCCACAATCTAGCGGGGAATACAACCAATTAGCTATGTAAAAGTCTGTCTATACAGACTTGGCACAGTTTGCCAGAGGGTTTACACCCTAGCGGGGAATACAACCAATTAGCTATGTAAAAGTCTGTCTATATAGACTTGGCACAGTTTGCCAGAGGGCCTACACTCTAGTGGGGAATACAACCAATTAGCTATGTAAAAGTATGTCTTTACAGACTTGGCACAGTTTGCCAGAGGGCCCACAATCTAGCGGGGAATACAACCAATTAGCTATGTAAAAGTCTGTCTATACAGACTTGGCACAGTTTGCCAGAGGGTTTACACCCTAGCGGGGAATACAACCAATTAGCTATGTAAAAGTCTGTCTATATAGACTTGGCACAGTTTGCCAGAGGGCCTACACTCTAGTGGGGAATACAACCAATTAGCTATGTAAAAGTATGTCTTTACAGACTTGGCACAGTTTGCCAGAGGGCCCACAATCTAGCGGGGAATACAACCAATTAGCTATGTAAAAGTCTGTCTATACAGACTTGGCACAGTTTGCCAGAGGGCCTACACTCTAGTGGGGAATACAACCAATTAGCTATGTAAAAGTATGTCTTTACAGACTTGGCACAGTTTGCCAGAGGGCCCACACTCTAGCGGGGAATACAACCAATTAGCTATGTAAAAGTCTGTCTATACAGACTTGGCACAGTTTGCCAGAGGGCCTACACTCATGTGGGGAATACAACCAATTAGCTATGTAAAAGTATGTCACTACAGACTTGGCACAGTTTGCCAGAGGGCTTACACTCTAGTGGGGAATACAACCAATTAGCTATGTAAAAGTATGTCACTACAGACTTGGCACAGTTTGCCAGAGGGCTTTCACTCTAGTGGGGAATACAACCAATTAGCTATGTAAAAGTATGTCACTACAGACTTGGCACAGTTTGCCAGAGGGCTTACACTCTAGTGGGGAATACAACCAATTAGCTATGTATAAATCTGTCTATACAGGCTTGGCACTGTTTGCCAGAGAGCCTATACTCTAGTGGAGAATACAACCAACTAGCTATGCATAAATCTGTCTATATAGGCTTGGCAGTTTGCCAGAGGGCAAATACTCCAGTGGGCAATAAAATTTACAAGAAGACTTACCAGGATCCTTCTTGATTTTACTGATATACAGTTCAATAATTTCCTTGCGACCTTTTAGATCAGGGAGCTGCACTGTCACTTCAATATCGAATCGACCGGGACGTCTCAAAGCTCTGGAAGGCAACAGAGAAGCATGATTATAAGTTCATAAAGCTGCCTCTTCTAACCTTTCCCTTCTTGCAAAACTGTTACATTGTAGGCAGAGATTTGTACCCTCAGAAAATTAGGAAAAATATAATTAATATCATGGTTAATTGCCCAGTTGATTGGCACAGGTATTCATCTTGCCATCTCCAACAGCATGTATCTTGCCATCTCCAACAGCCTGTATCTTGCCATCTCCAACAGCATGTATCTTGCCATCTCCAACAGCATGTATCTTGCCATCTCCAACAGCATGTATCTTGCCATCTCCAACAGCATGTATCTTGCCATCTCCAACAGCATGTATCTTGCCATCTCCAACAGCATGTATCAGTCTGCTGACATCCTTAAATGCCCAGACAACAGTTGTACAGAATTTTCCCTCCTCTACCACACTTTCCATAAATCTATCCAGTTGTCACAACACAGGAGAACATTATTAATAAATTCGAACCAAACCCACCTCCTGTCTGTTGTATGGATTGATCAAGCTTTATCACAGCCTCACACAGAACCACCTCTAGATATTTTGTGTTAGTTGCTAAATCCTCAACGCGTTTCCTGAAAGAATAAGCAGCTGTAGACCCAGGGGTGGTCCTATCAGTCCCAGCAGGCTGTGATGTGGCAACTGGTGGTATTGCTGCCATGGCTGAAATACCCAAACGTTCTATGCTGGGAGCACTTGCAAACGAGCCCCTATCACCTAAGCTGGTGGGACAGGAGTCTTATGTAAACACAGGAGTCTTATGTAAACACATGACACTGCTGTCTTGCAGCTGTCATCAGGACAATTAAAGTCTATGGGACACTTCCCAGTCTTTCACTAGATGGAGGGCAGCAGCTACATTGCAGACAGTGGCAACATAAGGACAGTTGGTTAACAGATCATCCTCACTGTATAAATAAGCAACATAAAGTAATTTCATTAGCTGCTGGTGCCTTGGCCATGATTATACGTGATACTGAGAGATGACATAACTTTGTTAACATGGCAACACAATGTAAAAAGTTCTATCGTATAGCTGATGAAACATAAACACTGTCTGCACAAAATGATACGTGACAGTCTGTTCACCTGCCAGGAGACTCAAAGAAAAAAGAAACATGTAACCAAGTAATGAACTCATGGGGGAACCATGTATCTTAATGGCCTGTATACTGACATGAAACAATGATGCAGTCAATCTTCGCCAGATGTCCCCAAGTGTGTGGGGGGGGGGGGGGGAGGAGAAGAGAAAACAAAGCAATGGTAAATGTCACATACTTGTCCATGTTATCCACCTTGTTGGTAGCACCCATAACAATTATGCCTTCATTTTGTTGAAACCTGCAACAAAAACACAGATTTCAGCACACATCATCATTCTAGGGTTACCTCAGCCAATACTGAACATACTAGTACATCTTTCTTTGCCAAAGAAACAGAATACAAAGGACCTCACAATAACGTAGACATTTAGTTTAAAACTCACTTCTACAAACATGTAAATAAGACAACCCACAATGGACTACAGGTTACTTCATAACCATTTTTTGGCACCCCTATATAACTGTGCTTAATAACTATATGGCTAAGCGAGGTTTTTGCGATTAGCAGCAGTATGAGTCCCATCTTTGAGGTGTTCATCTTAAAGAAAGCAAATCTGAATGGGACACTAAAAAAAATAAAATTCAAAACAAAAATTACAATAAATAAATAAATATTCACACAACTCGCAGCTGACATTAACTTTAAATACTGTCTCCAGGCAAAAGGGTTGATTTCAATGACGGCTGAGTCAAACCTCCCCTCCCCTCCCCCTACTCCAGAGCAGTTGGCTTGCTCACTGATAACATCACACAAATCGGCACAGTGGCAGTGATGACTCCAAGAGGTCTCTGAAACAGCTGCACTTACCAACCAGATGAGGGCAGCACAGGTCAAAACAGAAAGTCAGGCATACAGTTCAACTACTTCTAGCATGAAGATATGAGACAGCAGCTGTCACAGGTGCATGTGCATGGCTGGAGAAGCACACACAAAAAACACATGCACTGATAGTGACAAAATTATTCAATGAGCATGCTTAGAAGATCCAAACTAGCAAACTCCAACTAAAATGGGTTGACAGTATCTAGAAGTCTCGCTGCAACTGATTAATTAAATTCAATCCATAAGATTCTGACATGAACTGTGAGTACACGACAGGACATGACTTACCCATCCATTTCATTGAGGAGTTGATTCACTGTCTGATTAGCATAAGGGTGGATAGCAGAACTAGTTCTCTTGGCCCCCACAGAGTCAAACTCATCAATGAATATTATACAAGGAGCCTGTTCCTTAGCAGCAGCTGTTGGCAAAACACAGGGCATCATTTGAACTTTGGTTCATCATCAGATTAGTACAGACAAACATGTGAGCCGAAATATACAGAGAACAAAGGGAAAGGAAATGTGATAAGTCCTTAACTTCTGTTTTTTGTTCTCCCTGCCCATGGTTTTCAAATGAGAAAGCCACTATGAAGTCTGTGTTGCTATGCTTGTTTTCCACTGATCCATACCATTTACTTTCCATTGGAATGCCAACAAGTCAAACCTGGTATCTATCTACTGAATGTAGAGAGCACATGTCTGTAGCACACGTTCAGTATTCAGTGGTGCCTATCCACATAGGCAACAGTTTTGAATCACAAACTCATAAGGAAAACATGAAATTCTCTGGTAATTTCAAAAGATGACATTCAGTGACAGCATCATTATGGGCACAATTTTGAATCACAAACTCATAAGGGAAACCTGAAATTGCCTGGTAATTTTAAAAGATGTCATTCAGTGACAGCATTACTATGGGAAAACTGTCACAACTTTCTTTTACTCTTGACTGTGTGCACAGTTTGTAGTTCTTGGCATGTTTCATTCATCCGCAGGCTGTCTTACGTTGGTTTCAACACTGGTATTGAAAGCCGACCATCCAGAAAGTAATGGCAAACTACTGAACATAAAATTGCCTAGTGAAATCACAAACCGATAAAAAATGACGGGGTTGGTTCTGCAACATCCTGGAAAGGATACCGCTAACTTGCTTTTTTATTGACCCCACTCAATACCATGGTCAATCTCTCCTTCATTAGGATGATTTCAAAGACCCTGGAGTACCACTGCCTCTATCCCAGACCTCGGTAGCTGAGAAAAGACTATGAGTGGATGAACACATGCAATAACAGCCAGTGGTGACCACTTACAAAACAGCTGTCGAATGCGCCGGGCTCCCAGTCCAACAAACATTTCATCAAACTCTGACCCAGAAGCATGAAAGAATGGAACACCAGCTTCACCTAGAGAACAGACAACAGGTGACAGATGTTAAAACAAGCCATATACTGAGACCATTTGCTAAATATAAATAATCCAACCCTACTTCGACGACATACGAGAGCTAATATAATAAGCTCTAGTTATAATCTTTACTTGGGTCCATCTAGGCAACAATTCAACATCACAGCATTCCGGACATGCCAACATCAGCTCTGTCTCCTCCTTAACAGCCAGCTAAGTCTCCATTCTGATGGTACCTGTCATTTGGTTCAATGCTCATCCCCCCCCCCCCCCCCCCCCCCCCCCCGAGTCTCGACTGGCTCCCAGAGTCAGCAGGCACCCCCAGCTGCATTCATTCTCTCCTGGTACAGGTATTTTAATAACTTCTATTTTACTTGTTACAATGTTCCTGGCATATTTTGGCAACTAGCCATATGTGAAGCCAAACTTAAATACAGCAGTAGACAGTGCAAAAGTGTTAAAAAAGTAGTTTAATAACAAATCCACTGAACATGGCAAATCGAATGAAGACATTAACATCCAATGCAGTCAGGCAAACCAATTATTGGAACAGCAAGTCCCCTCCTCCACAATTTAAGACAGTCCCAACCAGCAAAGAGACATCTCATATAAAGCATATTTATCCGACCCTATAATATTATTGCCAGGCATGGTCAGTCTCATGAACAGAGAGATAAAAAAAAAATTAGTTACAGAAATGAGAAATCTGAGAAAAGCTGTGGGAATAACCAGAAGAGAACAAATCTAGGAATGAGGATACACAAGAAAAAGCTGGCATAGAACAAATATTACACAGAAAAAAATCACACACAAAAATCATATGCCCATTTAGAATGCCACGTGCTGTCATGCAATACAATACAATACACAGGTGGAGAGGACAAGAGTGCTGCTGAACAAGAGCAACATGGAAGATAGCTTTAGAGCAAGAAACAGAACTCTGCATCTTCCCACACCCAAGCCAGTTAATCTGCCCCTCAATCTGTCCATTTAAAACGATTCTTCTTCCTATCTCCCCCTCCATTTCTCCATTTATACAATCTTCATCTATCATTATTTCTTCCCTGCAATCTCCATTTCCAAGATTAATCTTCCCATTTCCCACTTGTAAGTGCAGCAACATTTTGCTTTCATTGGCTCCAACTACAAGAGAACTCACCAGCAACTGCCCTAGCAAGCAGAGTTTTGCCAACTCCTGGAGGACCCACAAGTAAAACACCTGTGAAGTAATAACAATATCATCTTTATGTAACCAAATAATATTGATATGCATATATCAGAGAAGGACCATGCTGCATGGACAAAACATGGTCTCTAAAAAATACTGGTCAGGCTTTGTGCTAGGGAAGGAGCTTCATCCTCGCAGTTGGTTTCTAAAACAAATTAAAACGGGACTGAAGAACACAGGTATTGAGATGGACTACAGGATGCCACAGTCGGCTCTGTGGCTAAGTCGATGCGAACGCTTCGTAATGCCGAGATGCCAGGTTCGATCCCAGCGGCGGGCCATGCACCTTGCGTTGGTTTCGACAGTGGTATAAAGAAAGCCGACCGTCCAGAAAGCAATGGTAAACTACTGGACGTAAATTTGCCTAGAAAAACCACATAACAGCCAGGGGCTGTTGGGATTGGTTCTGCAACGTCCTGTAAAGGATACGCAACTAACCTAACAGGATGCCACAGTTCACACTGTATGAAGGGGGGAAATTAGGACGGGAATGAATACATAGAAAATGACTAGACAGGTTCAGATCTGAATATTGAGATGAAACCTGTCAAATGCACGTGACAGCAACAACAGTCCAGAAATTCCAGGCATTTATGCACTTGTGAAAGATTCTTCTTCCTGCGAGCTGGTTTTGCTAATCACATTACTCATCGCCATGCACTGTCATTCACATGTTTCCCTACAACACAACGGAACATTACTGGTACAGCTCCAGGTACCTGTCGTCACAGTACACTCCCTAAAGGTTTATGATTGTAGATAGTAATTAAAGGGTGACCAAAGCAGGACGGTAACCAAAGCAGCAGAACCACCAAAGTAGAAGAGTGACCAAAGTTGGAAGTTGAGGAGTAGAAGAACAACCAAAGTAGCAGGGTGAGCAGTATGAGGGTGGCCAAAGTAGGAGGGTGACCTAAGTAGAAAGGTCAGCTGTAGGATGACCCATCATTATCCCCTTAACAAGCATGTTGTCCAATGCAACTAATTATGGGCTTGCTGAAAGCAGATTTCATGAGCTGAAAGGTGCAGATATCATAGCTAACTGTAAACTGCAAATCTGTAAATTTGCAGGGAAAATGCAGAAGAAGACTTCTTTTTCGCTATATGACGTTTAAGTCCAGACATGTGTCACTTGTGTTATCAAATATATCAGACACAAATGCTTCTCCATGCCTTTATATTAGGTTGGACCTGACATGATATAAACTAACTCAGAATTCTACACTGTAATGCTAAGGAAATAATGAGATGGTTCTACCTTTAGGCAGCTTAGCCCCAAGTGAAGTGTATTTTTCTGGATCTCGGAGAAAGTTGACAATATCCTGCAATTCTTGTTTGGCTTCTGCTGCCTGCAACAAGGAAACACTTTTTGCACAAAACCAAACAAAAAAATCTATGTTCATTCATCTGTTCCACATACCTGCAGCCTAAATTCCATTTATGGCTGAAATAATGAAGTCAGCATTTGGAAAAGCTGCAAAAGCGAGGATGGAAGTGGAGGCAATCACTGCAGCTCGGAATTGGATAGCAAGTTACCAGAGGAATTATTGTCTGATTCTCAGTTGGCCTTTGAACCTTTTGAAGGCCGACTGAGAATCAGACAATAATTCCTCTGGTAACTTGCTATCCAATTCCGAGCTGCAGTGATTGCCTCCACTTCCATCCTCGTGCGTGTAGATAAAAAAAGCTCCATTCTGTTCTGCCACAATTTTTCCCTTAATTCTAGCTGAAAATACCCAGCCAAATCTTACACCCCGATGAATAATGCCATCGGAGTACACTACTACATCATCTAGCCCAGCCTTTCCATCTACCAGTTGTACCTCTAATTCTGCCATACTGCTACACCACTCTCTACTTTCTCTTCCTAACGTGACAATGACCTGATGGAAACTGCTGTTGTGGGTGTTCGTGTCAACCCTTTCCTACCCCGTGTTTTTCCTTGACCGAGGCCCCCATCTCGATATCTTCAGCTAGTGCCATCTAATGCAACAGCAAAGGTTAGGATTACCTTGCATGAGTTTGTTGAAGGCCTATGCTCCATTGGAAGATAAACAACAGAAAAAAATATATATATGGAGAAGAGATATTTGAGAGGGGGAAAAATGCACAGGTTGAACTGCATGCAATGGCACAGAATATGACAACTTGACGCATGGCAAGACTGAGGGATTTGGCCACCATCACAGATAAGGGGCAAAAGAATAAGAAGGCTGTTCTGGATGTAGATTACGCTGTTATTCTTCAATTATTCCTTTCTTTCTTTTTTCTTTCCTAACTAGCTTCTGCATTCTGAAATTCCTGAGAAAGTAATGCTAGCAGAGAAGCTTCTACCTGTGAGAGGACTTTGTTTGATCTTACCTCTACCTTCTCAAAGAGAACAGATGCTGCTTCATCATACATATATACACACACATAAAATGCCTAGCAGAAAATTCAGCTGTAAAATAATGAAAACACACACAGACAGCTGCTTGGACAAGGACTGGGTCTCACCCCTTTGACGTCGGCAAACGTAACATTGACATCTTCTGCATTGACTTCGTACGTAATACTGTTAAGAAAGCCCAGTGATCCTCCTGTAAGACAAACATTGTACAGGATGGTGTTACTGCAGATGTGCTCATTACCATGACTACAGGTAACCCATAGAAACAAAATGCTGGCTCAAGTTGCATCTTTCTTCCCATCTCTGCTTCGTCCCTATTCACCCTGTACAACTGCAGTAATTTATTTCTTCACTTCCCCAGTTACCTCAGCAAGATGTTGGCAACAGACTGAGAGATTTTCTGTGTGCCCCTACATCATGCACCAAGTAAGTATTTATTTCTCTCAGATTTTTGTTGTTTTTGATGCTACTTGTTCAATAGTTTTTCTGGTCTTTCTTTTGCTGCGCTCATTATATTTCTTCAGCCTGGCTCTCTGCAGCGGTTAATATAAGGACATTCTTGTCAGATGGCCAAATCATCCTATTTGTTGCTCTTCTATAAACTGGATGACCACTATCAGTGCTAGTCTTCTTCAAATCTCTGCATTTTTACTTTTAGCCTTTCTTGATATTTCAGCTTTTCTGTGACATCTCATTATTGTTCCCCCTCAACAGTGATAGTAAGAATACACGTTTGATGATAATGAAGATTTCAAAGGTGCTTTTAAATACTGTGGTGTAATTGAAGCTGTCTTTAATGACAGTATTTTTGCTCTTTCTATTCCTGATGCTAAACATTATCATAACCAACAATACACAGTGTGCAGACCACATCACTGAATAATAAAACATGTCAAATTGTGCAATACTGACATGTATTTGACTGCGAAACATGTGGTATGAGATGTCCAGTTCCCTTACCCATAAATTCCCTAGAAAATTATGGAAATTATCTGGCACCTATTTTATTAGGTTGAGTTTGGCTCAGAGCTGTAAAAAAAAATCTGGCTAAGTCTGTGGGTTGAGCCCAAGCATTTTCTAGACAGGCAAGTGCAACAACTTCTGCTACCACAATGGTAATGTTAGATATAAAAGGCACAACACTATGAATCTTTATGGAGGTCATGGCAGTCACCAAGGCAATACCATGGGTGGAGCTAATATTCCCCTGCACATGCTTTCTCAGCGACTCAAGGAGTATGCTCACGTAAACAAGAGATGGGCTGGGCCCAAAGACAGTGGTTGGTGTCTCTGTGGCAGTCTGGAATGGCAAAGATCAGTTTCATTTTTGTGACAGGGCATGCAGGCGTGCAAGAGAATGAGCAAGCTGACAGATGTGCAGTTAAGGCCACTATGAAGGCTGGATGAGCCATGGATCAGGCTGATAAACTGACTGCTCTATGAGGGGACGTTTGTGAAAACCAAGTGATAGTTAATCTGCAACCATAACAGATTTAAGAATAGAGAGTTAAAAGCAACAGACACTATGCAACAAGTACCAAAGAATAATAAAAAACCAACAGAACGGTGTCATTAGCCACTTCACACTGCAGGATTTACTAAGGAGGGAATCTGAGTACTTATGGATAGAATGGTTCAAAGTGTAATGAGGATAATCTGTCAACTTTCTTCTTCTTTTGTCATCTCACCAGGCTGTAGCCCAGTGTCATATTTTTCTGCATTTGTCTTGCACTTCTTGGGCAATGAATTTGCTCATCATTTTACAGGTTTAAGCTGAATCATTTATTCATCGCATTCTTGGTCTTTCCTTGAATTCCTCTCAGATATTCTGCATTAAAATTCTCATTTGCAGTTTAGTTTGGCTGCATTCTCACTAGATGGCCGAACCATTTCATTCTTTGTCTGTCAATTCAGACAGTGTTATTCAAACTTTCTCTCTAATGCTGGTGTTCATAACCCTGTCCCTTCTTGTGTTATCTGTGACTTTACCGAGACACCGCGTTTCAAAGGTAGTTATTTTATGTTCTAGTCCCCTATTCACTGTCAATATTTGGCACTGATAGCATAAAGTAGTGATGCAGAATCGATTAATTATTAGCCGTTTTGTCGGAAGGGAGACACTCAGGTGTCTTAGCACTTGCTTTCCCCACCCTGGCTTCTTGAATTCTACCAGTTCTGTTTGTATGTCTCCCATTCCAATGATCTTTCAAGTAGCCATCCTAAACATTGTTCTATCTTGTTGTCCTTACAGTTTCAGTCCTGTATCCGCAAGAGTTTGTCATAATTAACTAATGAACAATAATGAGAAACACTCACCAGGCTTGATGGAAATGTTGGAGGAAAACAGTTGCACTACCAGCCATATTGTTAAAGCCAAGAAAATAAAACTTCTGAAAGTAAAGTGGGAAAAACCAGCCATGAATGTCAACCATTATGAGAGAAAAAAAAATTGCTGTCATAATAAATTCATAAAGGACCATTAGCAATAAATAATATTAATGGCAAAGGGGACACTATTAAAATACACATAACCTGCCACCAGGATATATGCGGCGGCACTCCATGCATCTGCTTCTTGCCAGTATCTGCTAGTTCCGTGCTAGGATTTTTCAAGTTTAATTTTTGAATGCCATGCATACAATTGTTTAGTCTTCATTTTTCTTCTGACACTGCTGTCTTGTTTTATTTTGTTGTTGCAATTAATAGCTCCAGCGATTAACCAATGAGAATCTCCCAAACACCTGCACTCCAAAGCCAATGACAGAGCATAAAACTGAAGGTTGGGCAAATGACATCAGCTTGGAGATCCTATGAATAATTATGAAACAAAAGATTCAGTACAGATGTGTGTCACAACTGACCTATGAATAATTATGAAACAAGAGATTCAGTACAGACATGTGTCACAACTGACCTATGAATAATTTTGACACAAGAGATTCAGTACAGACGTGTGTCACAACTGACCAATGAATAATTTTGACACAAGAGATTCAGTTCAGACATGTGTCACTACTGACCTATGAATAATTATGACACAAGAGATTCAGTACAGACGTGTGTCACAACAGATCTATGAATAATTATGAAACAAGAGATTCAGTACAGACATTTGTCACAACAGATCTATGAATAATTATGAAACAAGAGATTCAGTACAGACATTTGTCACAACTGACCTATGAATAATTATGAAACAAGAAATTCAGTACAAAAATGTGTCACAACTGACCTATGAATAATTATGAAACAAGAGATTCAGTACAGACATGTGTCACAACTGAACTATGAATAATTATGAAACAAGAGATTCAGTACAGACATGTGTCACAGCTGACCTATGAATAATTATGAAACAAGAGATTCAGTACAGACATGTGTCACAGCTGACCTATGAATAATTATGTCACAAGAGATTCAGTACAGACATGTGTCACAACTGACCAATGAATAATTATGAAACAAGAGATTCAGTACAGACATGTGTCACAACTGACCTATGAATAATTATGACACAAGAGATTCAGTACAAAAATGTGTCACAACTGACCTCAGATTAGACCACCTCTTCTTTGTGTTTTCTTCTCTTGCCTTGTAACCTTCAGCAAAAGCAACCTTCAGTTTCCTTTCCACCTCAGGGTCAGGATCAGAAAGAGACTTGACTGCTCCAGATAAAGTGGACAAGCCTGGTGCTGACTTGACACCAAGAGACTGCTGGCTGGCCTGTGTTTCCAATTGAAATCATGACTGATTGCAGACAAATAATACACTTAAACTCTCTCAGCACCAAACACCTCATTCTTGTATTCACATTACTAGCCTACAGAAAGTATACTCTTCTGAACTTATTCTTACATTGTTCTTCATTTTAGTTTTAAGCGCTCTGGGTGTCCAGGAGGATACAAGCTTCTGGTTCTTGGCTCTTCTGGCCATCTTGACCATACTGTCGTTAAAGTGCTTGATTATTTTCTTTCTAATCTTTCCACCTCATTTTAGTCCATCTGTGGCTTTAGATAGCTCTTTTTTGGCAAATGCCTTATTGTATGACAAGGTGTCTCTCTAAGTGGGTATACAATTTTATTAGTTATAAGTGAATTCTGGTTCTAGGATGACTTTTTCTTGAATGATCTTACTCCTAATCTTATCTCTTCTGATCACTCCTGCAGCCTTTCTCAGGCACCTCACTTCCATGGTTACTATTGCCTCTGCATTGCTGTGACCATCCATGGCAGTGGTGATCTAGAGACAGTTGCGTATCCTTTACAGGACGTTGCAGAACCAACCGCAGCATTTTTTGGCTGTTGTAGTTTTCGTAGACAAATTTCACGTTTAGTAGTTCGCCAATGCTCCTGAACAGTCAGCTCTCGGTACCACTTTCAAAACCAACACAACACAAAACTGCCCACAGCTGGGATCAAATCCGACACCCCAGCATTACATGGCTTGTTCTTAATACTTAAGCCACAGACACCGACAGTGGTGTTCTAGCAGTCCTTATTGTGTGTTAAGCTTTATACACTAGATGTTAATTTCTTCATCTCACATGCTGTAGAAAATATTCCTGCAGTGGTAGGATTCAATTTTTCCAACTAGCACAGTTCTGGGAATCAACCTAGTTTAATTAAATGGCCCCAAAAAAACAAAAACAAAAGAGAAGAAACAAACATAAGACAACCCTACCTCATATCATATTCTACAACTTGTGACAGCCTAATACTAAACAGACTGAAGACAATCTCTGTCAGGCACACACTCAGCTAACAACACCCACAACAAGAAATGATAACAATCATGTTTAGACTGAAGTAGACAACTATAACATGAAGTCTGTATCAACCATAATACTTTTCTTTTCTTCCTGCTACCAGCGTAATAAAGAAGAAAAAAAAATCTACAATAGTCTTCTATTTCTTCTTCTTCCTGGCGTTCACTGACTAAACTTTGGCAGAAATTCCTGGTTGTTCATCCACTTCTGGACTTTGGTTTGTTCCAGAACTTGAGTTTCACATGCATATCCATTTTACAAAAGTGACTTATTTGTAGGCAGACTGTTGGCGCCCTGTCTCTCAGGCATATGCACTCAGACGGAGAAGGAAGCACCCCTTGCAAGATGCTTGTTAGGGGAACAGTGGGTCTATTCTCTTATCCCCTGAGCCCAGAACCCACACTGGGAAACCATGATACTAAAACTAGAAATGTCAACAAAGATACTAAGATATCAAACTATAGATACTAACTCAGAAAGAAACAACAATCATACAAAGATTGCAACAGACAACAATCATATAAAGACAGAACAATAATACTAAGACAGTATCAATAATGATACAAAGACATGCAATCTCAACAATGATATTTAAGAAGGTGTCAACAATGATACTAAGACAGACAATGCCACAATGAGGCACATTACATTCTTGTTGGACCGGCTGCCAAAGAAGTCCTGCACGTTGTCTATCAGTGACTCCTGGTGCTCTCGCCGAGGCCGAACACCAACCCCAGTGTGTCTCTCTGACCGATGTGTCTTGAAACCTCTCAGCTGCACATCTGCCACAGAACATCACCAGACATATTACAGAAAACACTGCACTTTTATTTATACATGAGAACTTTTATTTATACCACAGAAACTTTAGTTATACTACTGCACTTTTATTTATTCATTAGAAATTTTATTTATACCACATAAATTTTGGTTATACCACTGCACTTTTATTTATACATTAAAACTTGTGTTTATACCACTGCACTTTTAGCTACACCACTGCATTTTTATGTATACCACTGCATTTTTATTTATACATTAAAACTTTTGTTTATACCACTGCACTTTTATTTATACTACTGCACTTTTATTTATACTACTGCACTTTTAGTTATACCAATGCCCTTTTATTTATACCACTGCCCTTTTAGTCACACCACTGCACTTTTTTTTAAAAATACCATTGCACTTTTAAGTTACATCACTGCACTTTTAGTTATACCACTGCCCTTTTAGCTATACCACTACACTTTGTTTACACGACTGAACTTTTAGTTATACCACTGAACTTTCAGTTATACCACTGAACTTTTAGTTATACCACTGAACTTTTATTATTTATACATCTGTAATTACCTAATGAGAGGAGCATGTAATCAAGTATGTGGAACACAGGATTTTTTTTTGGCTGGAAACAGAAATAAATTCTAAACTTGCACAGTTCATGGTAACTGCTCTAGCCATGCCACTATAAATCCTAAGGCAAACAATTATCACCTCCCCTCCTGACACCCTCCTATACCCTAAAAAAAGGTACCAAAAAGGCAGTTTTATTACTTTATGACCCAAGATTCATTAAAAGTTATCAATACAACTCTATCTAATAGGTAATCCCATTGTGATTAAAACAACTTATTCATGACTCATAAAGGGGGTGGGGGGATGCACACATGAGCATATGTGCATGTGAGCGCACGTGTGTGCATATGTGTGTGTGTGTGTGTGTGTGTGGGGGGGGTAGTGCATTATGGCCAGTTCTGTCCCTAATCAGTTACCCTTCCCTATCAATTCCCACAACCTGGGAACAATGTCTGGTAGTCTCATATCTGTGAGGTTGGACTGGCCACAAAACAATAACCTTGTCTCTCTATTGGATTAAAACCAAACTTCCTGACCAGGCCCAATTGTAAGGGAAAAACAGAAAAGACCCACGCGGTCTTACAAGAATGTCACAAGAGTTAAATAATTGGAGATGTCTCCTTTTAAATCAGAGTGCATCTGCTTAAGAGGTGAGGAACCAACAGCATACAAATAAGACTGATCTGTCAAACGGATATGCACGCAAAACTTAGGTTCTGGAACAAGACTGAAGTCCAGAAGTGGATGAACAATCAGAATTGTCTGCCAGAATTTACAACTGGTAAATTCAAATGAGTAGAACAAGAACTCACACCATTGTCATACTAGACAGATACACCAACCACAACAGCACTTGCCCCTTAGTTATATATGTGCAACTGTGAAACAAAAATCACACAACCATTTAAAATCAGGCCTTTTTGCACGGTACCAGCCTTTTTTTTAAGGCACAATATTTCCAATGCTACTGCAGAAGAGACACTTTGTGTTGAGCACCTGCACCTTATTAAGACACTGTGCTGAGCATTTGCACCTTTTTTAGACACTTTGTGTTGATCATTTGCACCTTATTTAGACATTGTGCTGAGCATTTGCACCTTATTTAGACACATTGTGCTGATCTGAGCATTTGCACCTTATTTAGACACTTTGTGCTGAGCATTTGCACCTTATTTAGACACTTTGTGCTGAGCATTTGCACCTTATTTAGACACTTTGTGCTGAGCATTTGCACCTTATTAAGACACTTTGTGCTGAGCATTTGCACCTTATTAAGACACTTTGTGCTGAGCATTTGCACCTTATTAAGACACTTTGTGCTGAGCATTTGCACCTTATTTAGACACTTTGTGCTGAGCATTTGCACCTTATTTAGACACTTTGTGCTGAGCATTTGCACCTTATTTAGACACTTTGTGCTGAGCATTTGCACCTTATTTAGACACTTTGTGCTGAGCATTTGCACCTTATTAAGACACTTTGTGCTGAGCATTTGCACCTTATTAAGACACTTTGTGCTGAGCATTTGCACCTTATTAAGACACTTTGTGCTGAGCATTTTCACCTTATTTAGACACTTTGTGCTGAGCATTTGCACCTTATTTAGACACTTTGTGCTGAGCATTTGCACCTTATTTAGACATATTGTGCTGAGCATTTGCACCTTATTTAGACACTTTGTGCTGAGCATTTGCACCTTATTTAGACACTTTTAGGTGAGCACCAGCACTTTTTTTTTCTACAAAACAAAAAAGCAACAAAGCAAAAAGCCCTGGTTACAGTGAATTAACACAAACTTTATGAATTCAAAACAGTTATACATGTATTCTGTAACTACTCAATGAAAAGTTAAGACTAGTCACAGCTTCATATATCATGCAGGTAGTCGAGAACTGGCTACATCTGTCTACAAGGGAATGTTTACAAAACTGGGTTAAACTTATCTGGATAACAAAGAACAAGTGACCGACGAGCAGCAGAAATGCAAAAGAACTCACCATAAAATGATGAGCTGGAAGACAACAAGGATTAACAAAAACAAATAACCAGTAAGATATTCTAGACTCTGGCTAGAGAAATAAACAAACAATGTTTCAACTGATAAACAAATTTGGGCATCGACTTTCTCGAGTGACCAGACAGGTTTTGAGGTGAGATTATAAGAAAACAACTGACTGTGTGAGTGGACAAGTGATGTCAAAATTCTCCTGAATAAAGGATCCTGTGCTGCTGTCCGCATGATGGATACCCCTGCAGGATGCTCCACGTTCAAGTGTGCTTGCGAAAATCCTGAAACAACAAACAATGATGTAGGTCAAAATTATTGCAGCAAAAATATAATAGATTTGTTTACGTATTTCAAATATCTACTTCTAGAAGGAACAAACATAACCATTAGGAAAACATTACAACAAATTGAAATCTGGCGCTCAGGTAAATGTTAATAATTTTCAAGTAAAAAGAACTGACTAAAAAATTAAAAGGATAAATTTTGGATTGAAGTAGCCGCAAATAAAAAGTATTCCATGCAACTTAAACATGTCTAGCATCAAGTAACATCAATAATGTTCTGCAGATTAGAATATCTATCTAGTCAACATCACTCTACAATTATGAAACAAAAAATTAGATTTTAAACTAATATGAAATGACCACAGCAGACTGTTAGAATGCAGAGTGACCTGGATTAAAACCTAGCTGATGTGTCTTTGTCTTGATGTGCTAGAGAGGCTTCTCCCTTCCAATGATCCCCAGATATGGTGACAGTAGTGCAGCTATAGAAAGGGTCTTCCATGTTAGGAAGTCAAAGACAAACACTCATGCACTCTGGCCATTCCCTCGTGTGTTCTGTAGCCCTCCAGCTAAGAGTTCCTTTACTGATGATGTCAGCTGCAACCTCATTAAAAGTCCCGTTGTTCATTTCACCTGCCCATTGAAAACCATCCAGGCCCTTTGCCTACTTCCCCCTGAATCACTTTCAATGTAAGGATACTCTGTTCCACTGCACACTGTCCACTTATTGCAGGGATCCCTCACTAGGTCTACTTTAGAGTGTAGCAGTTCAGCACCCAAAAGAATGGCAGCAGCCAGTCTATTTGCCTGTACAAAAGAACACAGAAATTCAACTGACATAAAGCCTATCTAATCTTTTTTCCCCCAAATCTCCAGCATGTCCCCCATATCTATATTTTCTTCTGAAGGTTTGCAGGTCACTCGCTAATTCTTCTACCCTAAGTGTGTAAGGATTACCTACCAGTACAACTACTAGCTGTTAGCAATGTGTATCCTATCCCAAATTTGCTTTTATCAACAAATACTGTTTTGCTGGAATCTCTCTCTAAGCTTATATCAGTAATTGTGTGATTCAATGTTTACTTCAATTCTGCAGGAAATCCATGTTTCCAGTGAATCAAAAGGCGAGGAAAAGATGCTGAGGCTCAACGGGACACACTGATAAAACCTGATACAGCCGGGTCTACTCAAGTCAAACTCAGATATGTCGAATTTCGGTTAAGTCGACATGACCAGCTAAGTCCCGGCAATTTTCTCTATTGTGTGTGCTGTCTGGATAAGTAGAAATCCTGATAAGTGGAAGCATTTTCTTAGGTCCCTACGAATTCTACTTATCCAGACTCGACTATTAGCACAACTAACAAGCACAGACAGACATATACCGATCTGCACTCACAGAAAGAAGTAGAGAAAATTGAATAACAGTATAACTATAATGTCTCTGCACTAGAACCCAGTGACAAAAGAATAAAGGCAAACATAAATACACAGAGACAACAACCAGAGAGAAGATGAAAAAATGGTAGGGATACTGGGCGAGCTGCTTCCGATTATCTTGCATCTAATTTTGTGCGAGATAGGAGGGTGATAACTGCAGCAATGAACTTCGATGGCTTGGAATGCTGAAGAAGGAGAAGCAAAAGGAGGAGGAGGAGGATAAAATCAGCAAAGTCTAGATCACTAAGCTGCTCTGTCAGTCAATTTCTGGTGGTGGTTCTGTTTTCATAATCCAGCCTACTGTCAACATTCAGAAGATTATTGTACATTTTCTGCACAACTGGACTGCCTCTGTAAATCATGTTTTACCGATGTTCTAACGGGATTCAAACACAGACACACAGATACAAACCTATTTTGTTTTCAAAAAATGTGCTAGCTGAGGTATGACACTGAGCCCAATTCAAAGCACTATCCTTTTTCCGTGCTCGCTGGATGAGGGCTATAGTAGGGGTTGTTACATCCGTGTCTTTGAGTAGCGAGAATAAGTCAGTAACTTGTGACAGCCCACACTGATGAATAGTAACACAAATATTCAAAATGAAATGTTTAGGTGTCTGTTGGTGTAAGGTGGTAATACTGTATATTTCTGTGAGTGCAGTGCAAACATTACAGACTTACGCAAATTATGCCATTATATAAAGATCCCTGGCACTATTCTGTGTCTATAACTCAAAGACATACAGTTAACACAACAAACTAGCTGGATATACATTTACAGGATATTGTACATCAACCCCAGCACTGTTGCATATTTCTGATTTTACATTCACTTTTCTACATCCAGTCCACTGCTTTCACAAATAAATGTCACAATAATGCAAAGCAGTCTGCGACTCAATCGCCTCATTGAAACTCAGGAATTATGAAACTATTCACAAGCCCAAGCCAGAGATGCCAACATACGACAAAACAGGCAATTGTTGACAACATGGCCAGTATATCAGCACAAAAATTCAAGGTCCTGTTTCCCCTGCCTTCAAGCATGTTAGGCATACAGTGCTGGCACCAGATTTGTTTTTATAGACCAATGGACATTTAAATTCTCAGGTCATTTCCTGGTACCCATTTAAAGGTGGCTCCACCTGGAAGCCAAAATACATTTTTGAATCCCGATGGGAATATGAACCTGTAACCACCTGACCAGCACTCCACTGTAGTACAACAGTTGCCATTAGCCCATTCTGGTGACAAGGGAAGTGACTGTTTGGATCCTAACTGATGCCATATAATTCACGCACAGTGCTGAGGTTACTTGTGTGCCATCAACAGGAGACTGAAGCACCCCAACTGAACACATACCTTCCTCAAACAAAGTCATTTCCCCTTCTCCTGTAGACCCATATGACCTACCCATCATTGCCATCAACAGGAGACTGAAGCACCCCAACTGAACATAAGGTTGTTGCGTATCCTTTACAGGACGTTGCAGAACCAACCCTAACAGCCACTGGCTGTTGTGTGGTTTCTCTAGGCAAATTTACGTCCAGTAGTTTGCCATTGCTTTCTGGACGGTCGGCTTTCTTGATACCACTGTCGAAACCAACGCAAGGCGCATTGCCCGCAGCTGGAATCGAACCCGGCATTACGAAGCGAAGTGTTCGCATCGACTTAGCCACAGAGCCGACCCAACTGAACATAGACCTTCCTAAAACAAAGTCATTTCCCCTTCTCCTGCAGATCCCATGACCTACCCGTCTCTTGAATTCTCTTTTTCAAAAACATAACCTGCCTACACTTGACTACAGGTATACTATGGTTGGAACTGAGTTTCTGGGACTTGTATCTATTGTATTCTCATACTTGCACCAGCTTTATTATTTCCTGACATGTCCTTTTACTTGAATGCGAAATTATTATTTTTATATAAGTGCTTGCCCATACAACAAAACAAACACAAAGCACAACTGCTACAAAGAAGGTGTAACATTCTGCCAAGATATCTCATTTTTCACACAAACATTTACAAAAAGATCCAGGGTCATACTAACAAGGGCACCGGTGATCACAACATAACTTATGACATTATATGCTGTTCACTGACTAATCCAAAGAGAAAAGAATAATTTATAATCATAAATTTGTTACCACGGTTTTGAATGTGTTTTCTTTCATTGTATATGACAGTTTAAAAGAAAAAACTATAAAGGCCCCCCTGTGGATCTGCAGGCAAAGGTCTAGCTGCTACACCACAGCGGCTCGCTCTGTTCTGGTTGTTGATCTGTTCGAGTTTTGCGCACACAACCTTTTTAACAGATCTGGCTTATTTGTATGCAAACTGTTGGCTCCTCACCTCTTAGACAGATGCACTCCAACCCAACTTTGCAGCAAACACCCTTCATTCAACACCTCTTTTGCCAAGCTTGTTAGAAGTGCAGTGGGTTTACCACCCCCCCCCCACCTCCCACCCCCCCCCCCCCACCGCGGGGCCCTGGAACCCATATGGGGATGCTAGCTGATGCTAGCTGCATTAAATGATAAATTCTGTGATGCAGACTCAGTGAAATATATTATTTTCTAACAATGACACACAAACTACTGTGTCCCCTTTATCCATTCCTAGATAACCTATCATATCAAATATGTAAAGTGTTTGGTATACAATACCACTGTAATATGTATTCTAAGATAACATCTGACATCCTGAAGGTCACCATACGACCAATGGATAATTGGCATTTTTTTTTTAAACAGGTCTTTACTTATTATTTAATATTTTTAGATAACAGAAGTGCAGGATATTTCCATCAACTCTGAAATTTATAAACACAAAAAAAAAAAACATATTTAATATAACACTTCAACAATAAGATAAAAATCTACCAATCATCACTAGAAGTAACCTCTCGTCGACAAATGTTTCGGCCCACGAGCTCCTAGACATTTTCAGAGTGGGCCCACCTGAGTTCATGAATCTCAGGGTTGGTTTCCCCTGCCGCACGAAATACAGGATGTTATTCGGATAGGAACAAGACGAATTGGTGATTTTGCAGAAGGTACTGTGAGATAAGAAATCGTAGCTGTAGCATAATTAAAGCAGTCTGCATACCTGAACGACCAAGCGGCAAGCTTACGATTGGTTTACCAACAAATTTAAATGACAACAGATTTACGAAATAACAAGTTTATTCTTCCACCTACTTGCTCCTTCTCTTGATTTAAATCCTTTCCTGATGTCACATTTGGTTTCTGTTGTTTGTTGTGAACATCTTGCCGCCTGAGCCTCAGATCTTTATGGCTCGAGATAGCCCTTGCACTTCCAAAAAGGGAGGTTAGATGTGATATGGCTGCTGCAGCCTAAAAAGCAATAAGAACACACAGAGAATGGTAACAGTTATATAAATCTGAGGAAACAGAGGCACCTAAATCCCTCCACACATAAACAAGTAAAAGCTTAATATACCAGCCAGGGATTGGGAGGGGGGGGGGGGGGGTCACTATCCTTCAATCATAATTTAAATGCCAACTTTCTTCTTCTGTAAACTCCGGCAAAAAGTGCTGGTTGTTCGTCCACTTATGGATTGTGGTGCTGTTCCAGAACTAGATTTTTGTGTACACTTGTGGTACACAGATCTGGCTTATCTGAATGCAGATGGTTGGTTCCTAGCCTCTCAGTCACATGCACTTCAACCTCAAAGTAAACATTCCTAATTAGCCGCCTTGTACAACATGTCTGTTAGGGGGAAAATATGTCTATTCTTTTTCCTCCCAAAATAGGGCACTGGAACCACATGGGGACAATTCCAACCCGATTGTTGTTCTTTCAATAAAAGCAAGTCAGATATTTGTAAAACTACTAAAATCTAGTAAATATAGTAAGTACAAATATGGCCACAGACATCCTAGAAATAGGCCTGGCGTCTTCGCTCGAAGTCGGAGTACATCTGCCCGTGAGGCAAGGAACGGCAAAAGCCAGAAAAACGGTTGTACACGCAAAACTCAGGTCCAGGTAAAAGCCAATAGTCCAAGCGGATGATTAACCGGGACCTTCCGCCGGAATTCACAGCCGGTCAACGAAGAAGAAGAAGTAAGTTCACATGTGTGCGAGTGTGAGAGAGAGAGAGAGAGAGAGAGAGAGAGAGAGAGAGAGAGAGAGAGTGTGTGAATGCGCATGTGTGTGTATTAGACCAATTAAAATACAGTGATAATAAATCTATCTACAGTCTATCGCTTTTTGAACAAGGTTTTTTTTTTCCCCACATTTATTTAAATTGTCAGCTAGACTGCTGTGCTTGAGTTGACAAAATTTATCCATCTCGTTCTTTATCTTCATCCCACTCAACAACAGAACTTCTTAGGTTATATCAAGAGACGTTCAAAACAACTTTTTTCTCTTTATATATATTCAATGTATGTGCTGGTACCTGAGTAACAGTCTTATGTTAACGACTGTTCCAGCTTCACAGTAAAGAAGTCACTTCATAACTGCTCAATTTATGTGCCAGTTTAAGAAAAATGTGTAATGACTATCTTTGATATTATCACCGTCCCAGCTGAAAACTAGTGAAATGAGTCCTGATAAAATGCAGTAGCTTGCACATGCTGTAAATCAAAAAGCAGTTGCCAGATGTGCTAAAATTCAGTCCACCACTAGAACCACAATTTATTGTCGATGGAATCAAATTAAGAGTCAAGTCAATGACTACCAAATTCAATTTATTTTCTGCTGTAAATGAACAAGCAGTTGCCGGAGGTGCTAAGAATAACAGTCCACAACTAGAATCACTATTCATTGTTAAGGGAAACAAAATTAGAGTCAAGGCAATAACTACCAGGTTCGGTTTACCTACTTATTCTCCTCTGTAAATCAAAAAGCAGTTGCCAAAGTGCCAACACTAACAGCCCACCACTAGAACCACAATTCATTGTTGAAGGAAGCATCAAAGAGTCAAGGCAATGCTCACCAGCTACAGTTTATCTATCTATTTTCCACTGTTAACAAGAGTACAAGAGAAGACGAACTTAAAATCTCGTGCAATAAAGTTATTCTGGCTACAACTTGGTTCAACTTATTTTGCTATAACAGAAAATACTTGTGAAAAATTTCAGAAGCATAATAATACAAATAATAATTACGTTTACTGGTTTGAAGAAATGTCAATTCCAAAGGACACCGTCAGTATAAATGACCCTCTGCAATAGTCTATGACAATGGAGAATATTCTCTCATTCTTCCATTAAAACCATACACTAAAACTATGTGGAACAATAAAACACATTTTGCAATAACTGATCACTATCAATCATCACTGATGATCTGATCCTGACTGATCATTATCTTCGGCTCAGCATGTCTACCTAAACATAGCATTCGGGCCGAAGGACGTAACTAAACCCAAGCCTTGTTGATATTGTAAACAATATTAATTATAGTAATCAAGAAAGTCTTTATCTAGAAATCGTAGGTTTTATTTCAATTACTACAAGAATAAGAATATATATTTATATTATATGCGTCGCATAATTCACAAATTACGTTTTCAGTACACACTGACCTGAGGTTGACAAAATGACTGAGTGAACAGTACTGAGGCCATGCCTAGCAGATGACAGTCCTGTAGACTGCTGGCAACTCGGTTAGACTGAAACTGGTTGCAACAAACACAGAGTTCTATCTAAAGGTCGCACAACAAAGTCTGACAACACTGGTCACGACAGAATCAATATAATTCCCAATGTTACGCAGCCCGTCCACTGACCGACACAATACCCAACTTGTCAGTTTTGCTTTCCAGAATTCTCGCTCCAGTCAGACCGAACAGTGAGTTTCATTTATACCAATGAAATGACAAATAAATATAAAATATTTGTCTTCACAAAAATTGTACGAAAATTGATACTGTCAATTTATATTTTACAGAAATATGTATGTTTCTATTTGAATTGTGTAATGGGCTGTTTACATCTACAACCTTAGCGAAATGGTTATATGTGCTAAATCTGGACTAATCTGCAGGAAACGGAAAGAAAGGCTGGTTCTCCCCACTTTTTAAACTGACGCAAGATGTTTGCCAGTTTCACCTTCCCCGCGATCTTTCTAGATATTTAGTAATTACGTTGTTTTTTCCCACGTCAATATCATACAATAGTTTTCCTCCGTCATGTCTTTTCTCTCTGTTTCTTTTTTTTTTCCAAATACTTGAGTAATTTAAATATGGAGAGGGAATCGCTAAGTAATTACTTTAAAATATGTTTTTTCCAAACGTAAAAAAAAAAATTGTAAATAGTTGCAAATACTCGTTTTCTGGCAATTGTTTCTGATACAAGTGTTTTCCATGCCATGATTCCAAACTGACCAACGTATCTCTTTTCACTTACAATTTTCCTGCTGTGGCGACGTGTCCAGTTCTCCTTTTCTCACAGCGTCCCCAAAGTATATGGCTGCTTTTAATGCGGGTAATCGCCAAGAAATAATCTAGTATTTAGTATGTAAGTGTCAGCCTTTGCTTTAGCCGGGAAGCTTCCTGACCATTCCATTTGAAGCTCCTCGTATGGGTTCCGGGGTCCCATTTGGAGGAAGAAGGGGGGGGGGGAATAGACCTAATGCCGCTAAAAACAGCATGTAGTAAAAGCCGACTAATTAAGGATGTTTCCTTCGAAGTCGAAGGGCATCTGCCTGAGAGGCTACGAACCAACAGTCTGTTTACCAATAAGCCAGATCTGTAAAATGGATGTGCGCGCAAAACTCAAACACCCAGCAATACCAACGGAAACTAAAAGACAAATTATAAACGCAATCTTTTTTTTTTTTTTTACCAACATTGCATTGCCAAACCTGGGCACTAACAAATAAGAACAAAAGCGGAAACTAACGAAGTCCGAAATAGTTTGAGAAAAGCAATCAACGTAAGAAAAATAGACCACAAAAGAATTAAGATATCATTAGAATGGCTGGAACAACAATTGTAATTAGATTTATTGAAAAACAAAGACCGAAATAGTTTGGTCATGTGGTCAGATTGGACCCAGCGTAAACGGTTGCAAGATAATGAAAACATCAAGAGGCAGAGAAAGGCCAAGAAGAATATGGCTAGATGGAGTTAACAACTTGCTGAAACTCAGTATCACCATGCAGCAAGCTAACGGATTCCGATCCTTAGCTGTGCCTGCGACACCCAACACCACTAAGTAGAGAGAGACAATAAACAGATGCAAAACTCTGGTTCTGAAACAAGACTTAAGTCCAGAAGTGGACACACAACCAGAACTTTCCGTCGGAGTCTACAGCCCGGGATCACTAAAAAGAAGATTCTATTGAAAGCGATGATATAACGAGAGATTGTTTTTTTCCAGGCGCATCATAACAGTTGAAAAGTGATATTTTTTATGGAATGTCTACCCGCTTTTTTAAAGCAGATGCTATAACACGACACGCACACAGATATATTATCTAAGTGTCTTCTTCATAAAATGTATTTCTTTTTCTTTTTCTTCTTCGCGTTCATCGGCTGTAAACTCCGGTGGAAAGTTCTGGTTGTTCGTCCACTTTTGGACTGCAGTCCTCCTATTCCAGAACCTGAATGTTGCATGTGCATCCGTTTGACAGATCTGACTAATTTGTATGCAGACTGTTGGCTCCTTGTCTCTCAGGCAGGTGCATTCTGACTTCGAAGGAAGCTCCCAATTAGTCGACTCTTACGACATGCTTTTGGGTAGGCAGTGGATCTATTCTTGTTTTCCTTATAATAGGGCTCCGGAACCCACACGGGGAAAAAAATGTTTATCAAAACTTGTCACCCCCTCGTGAGATGCAACTTTTCGTTATTTTGAAGCTCCACCCTGGCTCTTTCCAGGGGCCGCAGTATAGCCCGGCCATAAATATGGCCTAATGGCTGAAGGCGGTTTCTGGGATCTCTCCACGGGTGATCCTCACCCACATGGTGGCACTTTCTGTCATCACTTTCTGTCAATAAAGTTTATAAATAAAGCTACAGTGTATCTCCAACACTCTTGCCTTTTAGTCCCTTGTTTACTATGTCAGACGCTTATTTGATCGTCTCTTGATATCCTCACATTTGAAACGCCGTCTACTCCAGGCATATTTACAGTTGTTTTCTGTAGTAAACTACTGCACGTAAATTTGCTAAAAAAAAAAAAAAAAAAAAAACAGCCCCCCCCCCCCCCCCCCCCCAATGCTGGGGTTCGTTCTGCAAAGAACTAGCTTTAAGTTGTTTTTTAAAGAAGACATATATTAGTGTTGAAAAAATAGTTGCCTGTTTTATTATAGGCTCATTTTCTCCCCATTCCCGGTCTCTATAATCTCTATATTTGGTTTGCTTTAAATACTCTATGCTCTGTCTGACGATAACACTATTTAGTCGTTACAATCGCGCCGCCACAAAGTTAACCATCGGGGGTGGGGGCTTTAACCCTACCCATCCGCCCACCTTACAAATCGTATAGCTAAATGTGGGAGAGGAGGCGTTTTACCCAAGATAAAATTATTTTTAAAAAATGAGGAGGGAGGGAGACCTCATCACCTAGGCAAACAATCGGTGGCAGCTCAGATCCCCTCAACCAATTAGAAAACATTGCGGACTCCCAAACCAAACCCTCCTCGCCACCTTACAAACGTTCTCTTTATTTGGGGGTGCGGGATCTTAGGTGAGTCCTCCCCCTCCCTTACCCAATAATTATGTCAGGGAGCAAGGATGCCCCCCCCCCCCCATAACCATGTATGGAAATACTGAGCCCTCAGGTTCCGGCGCCTCTGTCTAGGTTTGTTATATTGTGAAGCTTGCTATTATACTTTTCGTTCTGTTTTATATCTTTTCTTCATATAAGACAGGTTGGAATACATTCTGTGTCGATTGGTCAAGCTTTGACATTTGATTTCTGCCGCTTTTATGTATATTTCAGAGCTTTTTCGCACTGCTATTTTCGGTTTTGTATTTTCGCCATATTTGATAGACCTTTTTATTCTAGAAAATTTGAATAAATTTGCAAATAACTTGACACATGAAGTGACTTGAGTGGAAACTCGACTTGGAAACAGTCTTGCTAAATTGAGACTTGACTCATGACTTTGTGGCAGTGACTCCGGACTCCAAATGGACTTGAAGGGTGGCGACCTAGTCCAACCTCTGCTATCTGGTGCTAAAATGTTTTGGCGCCAATCGTCTTTCGTGAAATGATAAAAGTGGTGCTGATTGTTTGCATCGTTGTCTGAAGACATTTATGTATTTTGAATTTGAAATGAAATCATTGGGATTTGAGTGGTTTTCCTCCATCTAAAGCAGTGGTCTCTATCCTGAGAGGCGCACCCCTTTGGGGTGGGTGGGGGGGGGGGGGGGGTTTATAGAGTGGGGGAGGTGAATAGGTTTCGAGGGGAAGGGGTCGTCGGGCAATTTTGAAAATGAGCGCATTTGTTAAAATAAGTTTTTTTTTTTAAAAACTTTAAATGTGTTTAAAAGAATAAAATGTTTTTTTTTTAATTCATAAAAAAAAAAGCAGACTTTTTTGTTTCGTTTTCATAAGCAGTTTCTATATCTACCTGTAAAAAATCGAAATAATGTGATAACTTGGGCTTTTTTTAATAGATTAGGAACACGTTTATACTTTAACGTATCTCCATACTAAGTTTGTTTTTTGTCTTGTTACCCTCCTCTTTTAGTCACATTCTTATGTTGTGGGGTGAGGGGGTGTCTTGCCATATACTTAAAAGAGGCATGGGGTCTTGCAATGTAATTAAGGGAGTATGTATGGTGGGCTTGCCATTTACCTAAGAGGGTGTGGTGTCTTGCAATGTACTCAAAGGAGTGTGGAGTCTTGCTATATACTCAAAAGAGGTGTGGGGTATTGCAATATGGTCAAGGGAGTGTGGTCTTGCTATATACCAAAGAGGGTGTGGTGTCTTGCAATATACTCAAGGGAGTGTGGTAGTCTTGCCATATACCCAAGAAAGTGTGGCGGTCTTGCCATATACTTAAGGAAGTGTGGTGGTCTTGCCACATACCCAAGGAAGTGTGGTGGTCTTGCCATATACCCAAGGAAATGTGGCGGTCTTGCCATATACCCAAGGAAGTGTGGCGGTCTTGCCATATACCCAAGGAAGTGTGGCGGTCTTGCCATATACCCAAGGAAGTGTGGCGGTCTTGCCATATACCCAAGGAAGTGTGGCGGTCTTGCCATATACCCAAGGAAATGTGGCGGTCTTGCCATATACCCAAGGAAGTGTGGCGGTCTTGCCATATACCCAAGGAAATGTGGCGGTCTTGCCATATACCCAAGGAAGTGTGGCGGTCTTGCCATATACCCAAGGAAATGTGGCGGTCTTGCCATATACCCAAGGAAGTGTGGCGGTCTTGCCATATACCCAAGGAAGTGTGGCGGTCTTGCCACATACCCAAGGAAGTGTGGTGGTCTTGACATATACCCAAGGAAGTGTGGTGGTCTTGACATATACCCACGGAAGTGTGTTGGTCTTGCCATATACCCAAGGAAATGTGGCGGTCTTGCCATATACCCAAGGAAGTGTGGCGGTCTTGCCACATACCCAAGGAAGTGTGGTGGTCTTGACATATACCCAAGGAAGTGTGGCGGTCTTGCCACATACCCAAGGAAGTGTGGTGGTCTTGACATATACCCAAGGAAATGTGGCGGTCTTGCCATATACCCAAGGAAGTGTGGCGGTCTTGCCATATACCCAAGGAAGTGTGGTAGTCTTGCCATATACCCAAGGAAGTGTGGCGGTCTTGCCACAACCCAAGGAAATGTGGTGGTCTTGCCATATACCCAAGGAAGTGTGGTAGTCTTTCCATATTCTCAAGGAAGCGTGGCGGTCTTGCCATATACACAAGGAAGTGTGGCGGTCTTGCCACATACCCAAGGAAATGTGGTGGTCTTGCCATATACCCAAGGAAGTGTGGTAGTCTTTCCATATTCTCAAGGAAGCGTGGCGGTCTTGCCATATACCCAAGGAAGTGTGGTGGTCTTGCCATATACCCAAGGAAGTGTGGCGGTCTTGCCATATACCCAAGGAAGTGTGGCGGTCTTGCCATATACCCAAGGAAGTGTGGCGGTCTTGCCATATACCCAAGAAAGTGTGGCGGTCTTGCCATATACCTAAGGAAGTGTGGTGGTCTTGCCATATACCCAAAGGGTGCCTGACCTGAAAAAGGGTGGAGACCACTCTTGTAGAGTGATGAACACCATTCAATGGTTATAGGTGTGAGATAAGGCTGACATGAGCCCGGGAATTCCTAAGTACGGACCGTGTGAAATAAGTCTGACAAGAGCTCGAGATGTTGCTTGGCAGTAGGGATGGTCTAACAGGCAAAGACCATCAACACTGTTTTGCCACATATGTCTTTGTCTTCTTATTTAGCCCTTGAGGTTCATTACTGCAAATATCAACTGCCTCCATTCATCTCTCCGGTTGGCCTTCTCTTTCCAGTTGGTGATAATAAGTGTTTGTAAGTCATTCTGAATAGTATCTCTCCATTGTCTTCTTGGTCTGCCTCTTGGTCTATGACCGAGTATACAGTTCTACCTCTTTATCATCTGACATTCTCTCAATATGTCTAAGTCATTGCAGTCTAATAGCCCTCATGATGCCAGTGATTGGTGGTGATTTAAACAGATTGTGAATTTCATTGTTGCTTCTCACTCTCCATTCCCCACTATTTGCAACTTTGATGGGTTCAACGATTTATCGCAAGACTGTTTTTGAAAATCTGTAAAAAGGCTTTATCTCTTTTAGTTGTGCTCCAAGTTTCAGCACCATATAAAACAACTGAACCACATCTGTGGGGTTTTAAAAAAAGAAACAAATTACAACTAGAAATATCAATGGAAAAAGAAAGAGGGAGACAGTATGAGAAGATTTTTGGCAGCTTTTCACCAGTGCGTTGGCTCTGTGGCTAAGTCGGTGCGAACGCTTCGTAATGCCGGGTTCTATCCCAGCTGTGGGCCATTCACCTTGCGTTGGTTTCGACAGTGGTATCAAGAAAGCCGACCGTCCAGAAAGCAATGGCAATTTACTGGACGTAAATTTGCCTAGAGAAACCACACAACAGCCAGGGGCTGCTGGGGTTGGTTCTGCAACGTCCTGTAAAGGATTCGCAACTAACCCTTCGCCAGTGCATAAAGAAATGTCAGCATAAGAACTGATACATCTTGTTAAAGATTACATGATATGGAGGTACACTGCCATGCCAGCTAGCAAGGCATTTAATGAAGAAAATGCCAATAATATGAAAAACGTAAACTAAAGTAAAGGTCCATTCAAAACCAGCACAAGGTGGTCTGCTGCCAAATCACCTGCAGCAGGGGTCAAATCTAGCACCTTGAAAGTACAAAGCGTGTTTACAGCAATTAAGTCACAGACACAGAAATCTTTCCCATGCACGCATCATTTCTTTACAAAAACCTCATATTAGGTTTGATGTATTTGTATAGTCCATACTGAGTATACAAACAATATGAATTCAATACACAGTTTTATTTACAATAAATTCACAGATTCTGTTCACTGATTTATTGATACATTCTGATCCCCATTATTGAACAAAACATGGCAAAGTCATTAACCACTGATAAAAACAGAAGCATGTCACACTTACACACATTCAGACTAGCACAAGGAAAGATGAATCTATCAGGCTTCAATCCTATGTTATTGTTATTGATGTTTTTAACCAAGCATATGAGTTTTAGCGCCAAATCAATAATTAACAATCTCTTGAGTGCAGGAAGCAGACAGAAAGTTCACAAACTACACTGTTGAGCTCCGTAATTTCTTACACAGATGTTCTTTGATGCCACGACACAAACTGTCTAACATAGCTCTCTTGGTCTCCCCTAGCTCCTCTTCCCCTGCAACTATTTCTTACACAGATGTTTTCTGATGCCTTGACACAAAACTGTTTATCTAGAAACATTCTAGTCACTTTAATTTACTTCAGTGTATCTGCATGTGATACACACTGACTGTTTTTCTCCCTCCGGGTTGCTACTTAAAGGTTGGACAGCTCAGGCCAGGCTGTTATCTGAGGGTTGGACAGCTCAGCAAGCTGGCCAGGCTGTTATCTAAGAATTTGACAACACAGCAAGCTGGCCTGGCTGTTATCTGAGGGTTGGACAGCACAGCAAGCTGGCCTGGCTGTTTTCTGAGGATTGGACAGCACAGAAAGCTGGCCTGGCTGTTATCTGAGGGTTGGACAGCACAGCAAGCTGGCCTGGCTGTTATCTGAGGGTTGGACAGCTCAGGCCAGGCTGTTATCTTAGGGTTAGACAGCTCAGCAAGCTGGCCTGGCTGTTATCTGAGGGTTGGACACCACAGCAAGCTGGCCTGGCTGTTATCTGAGGGTTAGACAGCACAGCAAGCTGGCCTGGCTGTTATCTGAGGGTTGGACAGCACAGCAAGCTGGCCTGGCTGTTATCTAAGAATTTGACAACACAGCAAGCTGGCCTGGCTGTTATCTAAGAATTTGACAGCACAGCAAGCTGGCCTGGCTGTTATCTAAGAATTTGACATCACAGCAAGCTGGCCTGGCTGTTATCTAAGAATTTGACAGCACAGCAAGCTGGCCTGGCTGTTATCTAAGAATTTGACAGCACAGCAAGCTGGCCTGGCTGTTATCTAAGAATTTGACAACACAGCAAGCTGGCCTGGCTGTTATCTAAGGGTTGGACACCACAGCAAGATGGCCATGCTGTTATCTAAGGGTTGGACAGCTCAGCAAGCTGGCCATGCTGTTATCTAAGGGTTGGACACCACAGCAAGCTGGCCATGCTGTTATCTAAGGGTTGGACACCACAGCAAGATGGCCATGCTGTAATCTAAGGGTTGGACAGCTCAGCAAGCTGGCCATGCTGTTATCTAAGGGTTGGACACCACAGCAAGATGGCCATGCTGTTATCTAAGGGTTGGACAGCTCAGCAAGCTGGCCATGCTGTTATCTAAGGGTTGGACACCACAGCAAGCTGGCCATGCTGTTATCTAAGGGTTGGACACCACAGTAAGATGGCCATGCTGTAATCTAAGGGTTGGACAGCTCAGCAAGCTGGCCATGCTGTTATCTAAGGGTTGGACACCACAGCAAGATGGCCATGCTGTAATCTAAGGGTTGGACAGCTCAGCAAGCTGACCATGCTGTTATCTAAGGGTTGGACACCACAGCAAGATGGCCATGCTGTAATCTAAGGGTTGGACAGCTCAGCAAGCTGGCCATGCTGTTATCTAAGGGTTGGACACCACAGCAAGATGGCCATGCTGTAATCTAAGGGTTGGACACCACAGCAAGCTGGCCATGCTGTTATCTAAGGGTTGGACACCACAGCAAGCTGGCCTGGCTGTTATCTAAGGGTTGGACAGCTCAGCAAGCTGGCCATGCTGTTATCTAAGGGTTGGACACCACAGCAAGATGGCCATACTGTAATATAAGGGTTGGAGAGCACATCAAGCTGGCCTGGCTGTTACCTGAGGGTTGGGCACCTCACCAAGATGGATGTCAACCCAACAAGACAAATGTAGTGGAACCTGTTCCCCCAGTTAACATGGTTTTACTTATGAGACCCTATGGCTACATTAAGTACTGTCTTGGTATGCTTTAAATTCTGGGTGGGTAAGCAGCATATGTAATACCCATAATTTTCATATGCATTTGCACATAATTTGTATATCTTATTGGAATTTTAACTCTGAACAAAATTCCATTTAGCTCAGCCCTACTTTACAAACTGTTACTAAAATAAGTCAGCTGAACATACAGCGCAAGCTGCAATAAAACCCTAACAAAAAGATATCTGTACAGACTCACATGTAACGGTAAATACAAGGGAGAGATCTAAATATGTCACTGAAATGATGCATTAATCACATTTATTTTTTCTAGCCATTCAACATCCGTGTCTGTTTTTAAGCATGTACCCACACAAAAACTTGTCAAAAGAGATGTCTATAAACAAAAACCGATCATCTGACTCTAGTCATCATTTCAGCAGTGACCACTTGATCTGATCCTTGGCTGACTGTAAAACCTGAAAGACAGGAAGAGACAGCATCTGTTTAGAAGATACAGTGGTAAATATGTTTCAAGCTAGAGTGAGGTGTTGCTTTCACCTTACTCCTTCCACTACCTGCAAATAGTGGCTCAATATTTAAACAGTGAGAACCATGACAGGAATACTTACCAGCTGGTCCTTTTTTTTAAACTAACAAGGAAGGGATGCTATGTCAGCTCAGTCAAAAATGGGTACCAGAAAATGTTATGGGAGGTCAAGGGGGCCTGCATGATACTGGTAACACCCACCTAGTGTCTAGAGATGTTTAAAATATGTAACTAGCACGATATACCCAATGTGCCTCAAAGCATGGACAATAATGGGTTACCTTGTCCATGCCCCGAGTGCCACTGCTAGTGCTAGTAGAACAACCATTTCCCACAATCTGGTTCTTTATTTCAAGACAAAGTATTGCTCTGTATTCTTCACTGTAGTTACAAGGTGAAGGTGTTTGCTCATCTATTTTAATGTTCAAGGTGAAGTTATTCACCAGGTCAGACTATAGTTTGCTTATCTACGACGGTGTTCAAGGTGATATCTATAGTGAAAGTTGATTTATTGGGGAGCTCACTAGTTCTACTTCTCATTTAGACTTTCCCGAAACAGAGTATAGTTTGCTAATTTCTTCTGGCCTGCTAAGTGAAGATGTTTATTAGGACAATATATTTACCAAGAGAAAGTATAATTTGCCAATCTATCAGAGTGTAAAGGGGAAGCCACTGACCAAGAAAAAGCTTAAGCATAAAACTGATATAACCAACCACAGCAGTGAACTCTTTTTTCCATGTCATGAAGACTATCTCCAGTACATATAACATTTGGCCCTTTCTTGCTAAATAACTGTCACATGAGTTACAACCTGCCAGCTTTCTTTATTTTGCTCAAATAAATCTGTGTCAAAAGTAACATATTAATGAGTACCATCTGGGACATACTGTTACCAGTGGGGACTGAAGAGTGAGTATCTGTGTACATCAATCATGTCACTATCAAGGCCAAGGTTTTTAACTCTGGGATTTTGGAAATTCATAAAGAAAAACAAATTTCATACCAACTAACTGTTTAAGCTTTTTATTTTGAATACAGATCACATGCTATCCATGAGAAAAATAGCAATTATGGCTGATAGCATATTTGTAAATGTATGTTTAATTACCTATTCAGTTTAACCATGTACTAAGCTACAATTTAAGCAGCTAAAAATTAATAAACCGAAATAGATATAGTTGTTTGTGTTCACCGGCTATATACTCCAGTGGAAAGACCTGGTTGTTCATCCATTTCTGGACTTTGGCTTTGTTCCAGGACCTGAGTTTTGCGTGTGCACCTGTTTTACAGATCTGACTTATGTGTATGCAGATTGCTGGTTCCTTGCCTCTCAGCCAGATGCACTGCGACTTCAAAGGAGACAAAAATAGTATAACGATTATTACCGCAGAAGGATGATTTTTGTCAAATATGAGCAGAAATGGAACTACTAAGTAACCAAATTGCAAATGAGAAGGAAAAAGGCCAATAGCATGCAAATACTTTGAACATCATGAGCTATAGAGGTAGAATAGGCAGCTACATAAAACCCCATGTGGAAGGAGAACGACAGTACATGTAAAGAACAACAACAGTACAAGTAAGGAACATTTGCATACCACTAGTGCACATTGGTGATACATTGCAAGGTCAATACTTTTCCTGATCCCAGCACCATTTAATGAATGGTGTGGTCCTAGACAATTGTCTGATATTTATTTCATGAAACTGACTTGGCCCCAGAGCTTTATGGCCATTAAATATTCCATCTTGATGGGGATATGCACCCAGAGCTCCGCAGACTGGCAAACAAATGCTACCACCTCTCCTCATAGCAAAATATTTTTTGAAATCCTCAAAATTTGTTTACTGTAGCAAGTGATGATATATTCTCATAGGTATTTTCACAATAATTATTTCAGTATGTTTTTTGAGCGCGCGTGCGCACACACGCACACAAAGCCTAAATTACAGCATGTGGAAACATGCAGTTGCTTGAATAAAATCAAGATCTGTATTTGAAATATGCAAGAAGACAATCTGTATTTGAAATATGCAAGAACACAATCTGTATTTGAAATATGCAAGAAGACAATCTGTATTTGAAATATGCAAGAAGACAATCTGTATTTGAAATATGCAAGAAGACAATCTGTATTTGAAATATGCAAGAAGACAATCTGTATTTGAAATATGCAAGAAGACAATCTGTATTTGAAATATGCAAGAAGACAATCTGTATTTGAAATATGCAAGAAGACAATCTGTATTTGAAATATGCAAGAAGACAATCTGTATTTGAAATATGCAAGAAGACAATCTGTATTTGAAATATGCAAGAAGACAATCTGTATTTGAAATATGCAAGAAGACAATCTGTATTTGAAATATGCAAGAAGACAAATTAAATCAACATTTATCTGGTCAATCTGTTATTTCATGTAATACGGAATGAGAAGGAATAACTTATGTGAGCCCACTAATTAACAGAAGGGGAAAAAAATCAGAATAAGCCAATTTATACAAAAATTTAATGAGCAGAATTAAAAAAAAAACACCTATTAAATCATTATTATATGCGACTGTAAGCGTATTTAAGAAAATAATGGATCATTTAAACACCACTCGCATTTTGGGCATATGCTGTGAAATATGAGTCAAATGCCTCTTGTCTTTGCTGGCTGGGTGCCACCAAGTGTCCTTAGCCAGCCATTGAAATGTCACTATTATTCTCTGCTACTTTATCTCATGTCTGACAATCTACTGTTAAGGTAGATGTACATTTCAAGAGATCATCACAGTATAGAAACTTTTAGATATGAAAAAGAGATGGGGATGGTACTTCTAAAGTAGGTACAGCGTACCTAGATGAGAAAACATTAGAAGGACCACACTATAATTATTCAAAAGCTGGGAACCTTATAAGAGAAAAGAAAATGTTAAGGTAATCAAAATAGAGTATTAATAAAATATTTAAACAAAAACAAAGAACAAACCAAAAGGTCTCGAGCCAACAGTATTATCCCAATACAAGTAATCTATAAAATAATAAAACAACAGTGTCAGACAGCCAAGGATAAGGTACAGGGTGAAGCAGTCAACACATTCATTGTTTGGTGAAAGTAAAATTACGCAACAGGCCCACAAGGAAAACACACTGCCACTAAAATATGGCTGATACCCAGGGACAAAATGTTGCAGCTGCCCATCAAATCCCATATCTACAGTAATACATTACCCTATCTGTGGCAGCCGATACCTGTTGTCCATATTTGGATGTGATCTTGAAATCCAGGACAAATAAAAGCTTGCAGTAGTTTTTCAACATACCATAACTTTACATACCAAATTCACTGCTTTTGACATGAGTCAGTAACAACAATTGCTCCCACTGACACTTCACTCTTTAGTGCCAACATGAGTAAGTAACAACAACTGAACCCATTCACACTTCACTCTTTAGTGCCAACATGAGTCAGAGACAACAACTGAACCCATTCACACTTCACTCTTTAGTGCCAACATGAGTCAGAGACAACAACTGCACCCATTCACACTTCACTCTTTAGTGCCAACATGAGTCAGTAACAACAACTGAACCCATTCACACTTCACTTTTCAGTGCCAACATGAGTCAGTAACAACAACTGCACCCATTCACACTTCACTCTTTAGTGCCAACATGAGTCAGAGACAACAACTGCACCCATTCACACTTCACTCTTTAGTGCCAACATGAGTAAGTAACAACAACTGCACCCATTCACACTTCACTCTTCAGTGCCAACATGAGATAGTAACAACTGCACCCATTCACACTTCACTCTTCAGTGCCAACATGAGTCAGTAACAACAATTGCACCCATTCACACTTCACTCTTCAGTGCCACAAAGTTTTGCAATAGATGTCCACAGCAGAACAAAGATTTCTTGTAAAAATAAGTGCTGACATTTAAGTAAAAATGACCAACGTGGAGGCCAGTTTTCAGTAGCATGCTCTGACAAAATCCACAAGGTATAGGAACACAACAGGCCATGATTCAGGTATTTATCTCTTTGCCCTCCTCTCGCTCTCTTTCCACCAATCTTACCAGCTGTTACCAAGTTTTCAAGTCCATTTCTCTTTATAACATCATCAACAAAGACTGAATGTCTACGCCAAACTGTTTTAATCAAACCTTCCATCTGTCTCAACCAAGACTGCTTCTTTTTATCCATTTATGATATTCTTTGCCTTTTTTTTCGAAAATCACATCTATGCCACGAATAAATGTTTTCAGCTTGTCTGCTCACTGTCCGTGTCTCACATGCATATAACAACACATTCAGTAGAGCAGGACTGAGGTAATCCTGCTCAATCTCCTAATGTAGGGAAATGTGCATAGGCAGCAAGGATTCACACATCTTGTTTCCTTTGCCACTGAAAGAGTCAACTAGAAGTAGAATAACTGGCCCACAAAAAACTTGGAACAGGAAAACTCTGGTCATCTCGTCTTGCCCCCACTCATTTCAGGGTGAGGTATGAACCAGGAGAGAGTGCCCATCTGTGTGCTTCAGAGTTTACTTGACTGACCTCTCTTTCAATTTCCACTTGGTCTATACATCACTGCATGTTGTGCTTTACTGACAGCCAAGTGAGCAGAACCATCTCCCTTGCTTTCTAATTAAATCTCACACCATTAATACTCCCATGTAGGACAATTCTAGTATGCCACAAAATATGCACCATTCCCCCCTCCCCTCAGTTTTGGACAACTCTATGAGTGCCACAAATTATGCACCATTCTTCCCCCCCCCCCCCCCACTTTGGACAACTCTATGAGTGCCACAAAATATGCACCTCCCCCCCCCCAGCTTTGGACAACTCTATGAGTGCCACAAAATATGCACCATTCTCCGCCCTCCCCCCACCCCCAGCTTTGGACAACTCTATGAGTGCCACAAAATATACACCATTCTCCGCCCTCCCCCCACCTCCAGCTTTGGACAACTATATGATTGCCACAAAATATGCACCATTCTCCGCCCTCCCCCCATCCCCCAGCTTTGGACAACTCTATGAGTGCCACAAAATATACCCTCTTCACCAGGACTCAGAGATTGAGTGCAATGGTAGCAGAGTGACTAGCAAGCTTGCACGCAGGCCCAGTGCTCTTATGGTTAAACCCCTCTCATGATGGCATTTTTACAGAAACAAATCGGGGCTACCAGGTCAACCTAGTTTAGAGCAGATGTCAGGAAATGACTTGGGAAGTAAAGGCTGATGGTGACCTACTGAGGACATTATTCACCAAGCCATAACTGGCTTATACAGTTATGGGACTTTCACCATATACCCCAATACCTCATTTGATGAACACTGTCTAGGCCAACACTGTGTGTCTATAAAGCTCTCAGAAAATATTGTTAAGAAGTACCCCAAAAACAACAACGAAATATTAAGACTACAAAAATAAGGCAGCAATAGGGAAATATTTTTTTAAAAACATAACGCAGCATTAAACTGACCATACACTATGTAATAAAAGTCATACTGAATGGTAAAATAACTTTAAATGCAAAAAACACCACACACACAAAACTACTGCTAAAACACCAATTAAAAAAACAACAACAACAGTCTGTTACATTTCTAAAGAGTGTGAAACATAGCCAACTGAAAATGTACATGATAAAACAAATAATATGATGAGGTACACACTAAAAAAATAACTTTATACACACTCAGTGTGCCTCCTGCAGCAAGTAGAAAACTTTTTGGCTCTCCTTTAAATAACGGTCGTTAGGTGGAAGGCGACGGTCGCTTAGTGGGAGTTCACTCTCTTGGCTGCAGTGCAAATACGGAGTGGTAAAGAAGGAACGAAACAATTGATATAGTTACCTGTCATCCTAGGGTTAGGCTAAGGGTTTGGGTAAGGATTTGGGGTAGGGTTAGGATTTGGGTTAGGGTTAGGGTTTGGGGTAGGGTTTGGGTGACACATCACGGAAACGACGGAAGCTTATCGCTCATTGCGACATACAGATCCGCAGGTCTCACATCTACGGTCACTAAGTCGTGCGTCGGAAGAACGCGGTCGCTACTGTCAGTCGCAGCACGTGGTGTAGCTCTAGCAGGCATGTCGACCTCACTTTGTTTTTTGATTCGTGACTTGCCCGCTCCGTACTTGCACTGCAGGCAAGGGAGTGAACTCCGACTAAACGGCCGTCGCCTTCCAGCTAGCAACCGTTATTTAAAGGAAAGCCAACTTTTCATTGCTAAGCTAAATGTTCCTTGACTGCGCCTAACTTCGTATTACTCTGGTTTCTTTCTATTATTCTCGCAGCTTCCACTTTGTGCCTCCTGTTTCTGTGAGATCCACTATGACAACATGATGTCATTACTGATCTACCTTCAATGTTAGGTGAGACCCAAACTGCAATAGTTCTTAATTTACTTACCAAACCCACTTCTCCACAAAACAACCCAAAGCCTTCAAGTTATCTGCTGCTTTTGTGAAAGCAGAGCTCATATGAGAGGCAAGGAATAACAACTCTTTTACACAATGCATGTCAAAGCAAATTCATTAGGAAGGGTGGATAAAAGATGGGCTACCATATCTTATAGAATACTTTCACTGCAAATGTTAATCAAATGTACAAAGGGTGTGGGTCGATGGAGGGCCTATGCTCCTTTGGCAATGAAAGGCAGAAGAGGAAGAATACACTTATATGTTAATGAGCCAACCACATGTTCAGCAAATGCATACACAGCATAAGACTGACAAACCAGGACACAGACAAAAGTGTCCCACTGACTCACCTGGGCCATTGTCTGCTCTCCCAGGGGAATGTCATCATTTTTTATAGCCACCTTCTGTACCACAGCATTGCTGTCAGCTTCCAGGATGATTCTGCAAGAACAACAACACTGCTAGAGACACAAGAGGTCAGCAATATCATTGAAGAAAAGTGCCCATGTTTAATCTAGACTGCACACCTTTCACCAAGACAATAACTGAAGTATTTCAAATGGCTATACGCATGGAATAGAAAAGTCAGCAGAATTCAGATATACCCTAACAGCATCATCTGCAATGTCACACTTACAGTGATTATTTTAAAACTTTATCAGGAAGCACACAAATTCAATTTTCACAATTTTTAATAATTAACTTAAAGAAACGCAGCTACTAAATCTTTTCTACATTTATCCTATAAATCTCTTTGCGAGTCACTGGGGTGCTAAGGCAGACATGTTCACACATAACCACTGCAGGTCGTTGGCGTGAAGACATTTTCACAGACCAGGTGCCTTCAGGTCACTGGAGTAAAGACATTTTCACAGACTAGGTAGTACAGTTATCTTTGCAGGTCACTGGAGTAAAGACATTTTCACAGACTAGGTAGTACAGTTATCTTTGCAGGTCACTGGAGTAAAGACATTTTCACAGACTAGGTAGTACAGTTATCTTTGCAGGTCACTGGAGTAAAGACATTTTCACAGACTAGGTAGTACAGTTATCTTTGCAGGTCACTGGAGTAAAGACATTTTCACAGACTAGGTAGTACAGTTATCTTTGCAGGTCACTGGAGTAAAGACATTTTCACAGACTAAGTAGTACAGTTATCTTTGCAGGTCACGGGAGTAAAGTCAGGTCACCGTAGTACAATGACAGACATGTTCACAGACAAGCAGATCTTTGTATGTCACCGTGGTACAATGACAGACATGTTCACAGACAAGCAGATCTTTGTATGTCACCGTGGTACAATGACAGACATGTTCACAGACAAGCAGATCTTTGTATGTCACCGTGGTACAATGACAGACATGTTCACAGACAAGCAGATCTTTGTATGTCAGTGGACTACAATGACAGACATGTTCACAGACAAGCAGATCTTTGTATGTCACCGTGGTACAATGACAGACATGTTCACAGACAAGCAGATCTTTGTATGTCAGTGGACTACAATGACAGACATGTTCACAGACAAGCAGATCTTTGTATGTCAGTGGACTACAATGACAGACATGTTCACAGACATGCTGATCTCTGCAAGTCTCAACATCTTGGAATGGAATACCACCTAGAGAAATTGGATTATTTGCCTGGTTTATTCTCAATATCTTTGTCTTCCCCTATGGATTTATAGACCAAATTGTTGTGATCTCTCACCAAGTATCTGGAATTTACCTTGCATGTGATTTTGTGAATGGGATCTTCTCTTCTTTTGGCAGTCATGTCTATCCACAACCTTCTGTCTCGTGTACTTTCAATCAATTCTGACACAGATAATCTCTCATGTCATGTCAAACTGTCCAGTATCTTCTCTCTGTCTCCCTCTGCCTTACTTGACCTCCAACTTTCCCACTATCGTGATGTACTCCAGTTGTCTCCACATGACATGACCAGCGAATGTGAATATGATAGGAGAGAAATATCAGCTTCATCCAGATCATCAAGTGGTTTTTGTAGGAGTCCACTGAATTCCAAACTGGAGGTAGCTGTTGCTGTCTTTATATTCCAGTCTACTGTCAGTAAAACAGGAAGAGGTGACATAAGGCATCCTTTTCACACATTTTATTTTATAAGTTTCTGTTAATTTTCCCCTAGAACAACTAGACAGTTCATTTCTTTATATTATTTTATTAACTTAGTAAAGTAAACATATAATTTTGATTTGTCATTATGTTTTAATATTCCCTGTATAATCAGATATATTCATGGTGTCAATGAATCGTGTTTGCCCACAAATCAATCAGCATTCACAGTCTGTTCATACAATTAATAAATGTGTTACCACTTGCAACACACCATATACAGTTGGCCTATTCTTCCTGTGACTGTACTTTTTAGGTTAAATTACAGCATACAAACAATGCCTGATACTTATTTTATAGCATGTGTATATATTTAGAAGTAATGTCACTTGACCATTGTTTTATATTACCTTCCTGGGTGTCTGTTGAAAGGTTCTGCAACATAAAGAGCTAAGTAATGTCCCTTGCAATTAACTCAAGTAGTACCAGAGCTAAGGATAAAAATCAATATCATCTTTTCTACTTTATGAAGTAGAGAGACACCTTGCCATTTGATTCTTGCTGTGGAAAAATCTTCTTTTCTCCTCAATCTTAGACAAAGACAGGGTCTTGATGTTGGCAGCAATGCCAGTTAGATGCTCCCTGATGGACCAGCTCCCGACATTCATTGCTGTAAGCCTAGCCACTGCTGTAAGCCTAGCCACTGCTGTAAGCCTAGCCACTGCTGTAAGTGTAAGCCTAGCCACTGCTGTAAGTGTAAGCCTAGACACTGCTGTAAGTGTAAGCCTAGCCAGTGCTGTAAGTGTAAGCCTAGACACTGCTGTAAGTGTAAGCCTAGCCACTGCTGTAAGTGTAAGCCTAGCCACTGCTGTAAGCCTAGCCACTGCTGTAAGTGTAAGCCTAGACACTGCTGTAAGCCTAGCCACTGCTGTAAGCCTAGCCACTGCTGTAAGCCTAGCCACTGCTGTAAGCCTAGCCACTGCTGTAAGTGTAAGCCTAGACACTGCTGTAAGTGTAAGCCTAGCCACTGCTGTAAGTGTAAGCCTAGCCACTGCTGTAAGTGTAAGATTAGACACAGCTGTAAGCCTAGCCACTGCTGTAAGTGTAAGCCTAGACACTGCTGTAAGTGTAAGCCTAGCCACTGCTGTAAGCCTAGCCACTGCTGTAAGCCTAGCCACTGCTGTAAGTGTAAGCCTAGACACTGCTGTAAGCCTAGCCACTGCTGTAAGTGTAAGCCTAGACACTGCTGTAAGTGTAAGCCTAGCCACTGCTGTAAGTGTAAGATTAGACACTGCTGTAAGCCTAGCCACTGCTGCAAGTGTAAGCCTAGCCACTGCTGTAAGTCTAGCCACTGCTGTGAGTGTAAGCCTAGCCACTGCTGTAAGCCTAGCCACTGCTGTAAGCCTAGCCACTGCTGTAAGTCTAGCCACTGCTGTAAGCTTAGCCACTGCTGTAAGCCTAGCCACTGCTGTAGGCCTAGCCACTGCTGTAGGCCTAGCCACTGCTGTAAGCCTAGCCACTGCTGTAAGCCTAGCCACTGCTGTAAGCCTAGTCACTGCTGTAAGCCTAGCCACTGCTGTAAGCCTAGCCACTGCTGTAAGCCTAGCCACTGCTGTAAGTGTAAGCCTAGCCACTGCTGTAAGTCTAGCCACTGCTGTAAGTCTAGCCACTGCTGTAAGCCTAGCCACTGCTGTAAGCCTAGCCACTGCTGTAAGCCTAGTCACTGCTGTAAGTCTAGCCACTGCTGTAAGCCTAGCCACTGCTGTAAGCCTAGCCACTGCTGTAGGCCTAGCCACTGCTGTAAGCCTAGCCACTGCTGTAAGCCTAGCCACTGCTGTAAGCCTAGCCACTGCTGTAATCCTAGCCACTGCTGTAAGCCTAGCCACTGCTGTAAGTGTAAGCCTAGCCACTGCTGTAAGTCTAGCCACTGCTGTAAGTGTAAGCCTAGCCACTGCTGTAAGTCTAGCCACTGCTATAAGTCTAGCCACTGCTGTAAGTCTAGCCACTGCTGTAAGTCTAGGTACTGCTGTAAGCCTAGCCACAGCTGTAAGTCTAACCACTGCTGTAAGTCTAACCACTGCTGTAAGTCTAGCCACTGCTGTAAGTGTAAGTCTAGCCACTGCTGTAAGTGTAAGAATAGCCACTGCTGTAAGTGTAAGAATAGCCACTGCTGTAAGTGTAAGTCTAGCCACTGCTGTAAGTCTAGCCACTGCTGTAAGTGTAAGCCTAGCCATTGCTGTAAGCCTAGCCACTGCTGTAAGCCTAGCCACTGCTGTAAGTCTAGCCACTGCTGTAAGCCTAGCCACTATGCTAACGAAGTCTTATTGAAAAACTACACAATGATGACAAACCACATACCCCCCATCACAGAGCTCATCTGCTGCAAGAAAAACAGCATCCATGTTGTCTAACAGAGTCCTCTTCTCAACATTTTTCCTCAGAATCTGGCTGATGGAGTCGTAGAAGGCATTGAGGACACTAGCTAGGATCAACTGAAAATAAATTTGGTCGAGGAGTGGTAAATACAGGTACAAGGTCTGACAATTAAGTAGCGAGACTGATTTTATTATAGCCAAGACAAAAATTTGAAGCAAAGCATGGAATCAAAAGAGGCATCCTTCATCTATGATCTGGCAACTTTACATCGCCATCTGATAAGCAGACAACAAACAAGCTGCCATTTTAATTGACCTAGTTGGATGTGCATTGTTACGAAATCGGCATGGAGCAAAAAGCTAACATTAAACTGTGTTTAAAACTCAGAAAAAGCGCCATTGAGACAGTTGAATTGATGCGACAAGTTTATGGGGATAATTGTTTATCTCGTGCACAGATTTTCAGGTGGTATTCACGATTCAAAAGTGGTGCAGAAATTATTACTAATGCAACTAGACCTGGACACCCAGTTTTTTTTCGTAATGAGGAACTCATTGCAAAAGTCAGGGAATGGATAAAAGAATATCGTTGTTTGACTGTGAGGATGATGGCGGATGAATTTGATGTTAATAGAGAGACAATTAGTAAAATTTTAGTGGAAGATTTGGGCAAGAAAAAATTTGCTTGCCGGTTTGTACCACATTCCTTGTCTGATGACTAAAAACATCAGCATGTTGAGTACGCAAAAGACATCATCAAAACGTGTCACAGAAAAAAAGATTTCTTAAAATTGATTGTTGCAGAGGATGAAACATAGATTTTCCGCTATGATCCCACAACTGAACGCCAAAGTGCTCAGTGGAAGTCATCATCATCACCTAAAGGCAAAAAAATCCGTCTTCAAAAGTCCAAAGTGAAGACAATGTTGGTGTGCTTCTACTACAGCAAAGGAGTTATTCACGAAGAATTTATTCCAGAGAGATAGACTGTCACAGCCACAGATTACTTAAGTATTTTGAAACATCAACTGAAAAGGATTCTCAGAGTCAGACCCGAATATCCAACACCTGCAATTTTTTCCTTTATCATGACAATACACCGGCTCACCGGGCGGTAGTTGTTCAGGAATTATTTGCCCAATGACCATCCACCCCACTCTCCAGATTTGTCTCCCTGTGATTATTTTACATTCCCCAAATTAAAGTTACCACTGAAAGGACACTTCTTTGATGGTACTGATGACATCCAAAGGGCCGTAACATCGACTTTAAGGCCACAACAACAGAAGAACTACAGAGGTCGTTCCAGTGTTTATTAGATCGTGCCATTTGCTGTTTCAATGCACAAGGGGCTTACTTTGAAAAAAATACAGGTTTATTTTTCAACAGTTGATTATTAAATTTTTTTATGAAATTAGTCCTATTACTTAATTGTCGGACCTTGTACCTGCCAGAGGTTGGACAAGTTGTTAGCCTTCCAGATAAAATCCTGCCCAAGTCACTGCCACCAAGCCTCAAGACACTGCCACCAAGTCCCAAATCACTGCCACCAAGTCTCAAATCACTGCCAACAAGTCTCAAGTCACTGCCACCAAGTCTCAAATCACTGCCAAGTCCCAAGTCACTACCAACAAGTCCCAAGTCACTGCCACCAAATCCCAAATTACTGCCACCAAGACTCAAATCACTGCCAACAAGTCCCAAGTCACTGCCACCAAGTCCCAAGTTTTGTCAACAAGTCTCAAGTCACAAGTCAAGTCTCAAGCAAGTCATCAAGACTTATTTGAAAGGCGTGCACAGAACAATGCTTATGGATTAAATTAGTCTGTTATAATATCAAAACAACAGCCAACAATTGTTAGCTTTTGATTTTGTATGTGAATAGCTGAAATGAATGCATACATTTGCATATTGAAGGTATTGTTATTTCAATAAATTTGCAGAAAACTAAAAGGTTATAACATTATTTTATATTTTATTTAATCACCAAACTTTATACTGCTTGCACTCTTCACTTGGTTCCAATAGCTCATACTGCCTAGGATCACAAACTTGACCGGTAACTTCTATCAGGCTTCTAAGTGTGCTTCAGGAGAAATGTGTATACACAGATTTGTTTCTCAACAAAACAATCATAAGCTAGTAGAATATGCAACAGATGGACATTCATACCATATGTCATCCAGCTGGATATTTGAATTCATTCATATTTCAAGATACACATTCAGTGGAAACTGAGACAGGGCTAAGGATGAGAGCCTGAGGCTTTTCTAGCTCTGGTTTCTGGCTAACACATCTCTAGGGCTACACCCCAATATCTAGTGTTAGTCCAGTTAAAGCCTGTGATGGCCATATATCAGTGGTGTATGACAAGAAAGGACAGAAACTTTGAAGGGAGTTCCAGCAAACAGCCAGTAGGCACCTGAGGTGATGTTATGCACAATGTGCCCATTTATGCATCACAACAATCTTAACATGCCTGTGATCAAAATCACCAGGCCCCTTCCACTTTTGAAAACAGTCTGGGACACTTTGCCTGCTTTAGCAGCATCTGGTACATATTGCTAGCCCAATATTTGTATGTAGCAGCTGCCACTAGATAGATAATAATGGTTAATATGCCAGCCACCTTTACTTTCCAGGACATCTCCTTCTCAAGAATGATGTATTTCAACCACTTCTTGTTTTAAGCACCAATGAACACAAATATAATACAGTCAATGTTGACGGTAACCTAAACACACCGTGTCATTTCTAGCTTCAGTAGTTCTGGTAATTTCTCTCTTCTATTCGTGGTTTCTGACAAGCTGTATACTTCATCCGATAGTCCATGTCATGAGGTGCTGGTAGTCATGTCAATCCACAACCTTCTGTCTTGTGTTTCAATCATTTCTGACACAAGTGTTTCTTCATGCCATGAATCAAATAAAATGGATCGGCCATTTAACAAGATTGGCATCAGACCAGGCACCACAGAGAGCAATGATATACAGATACATCAATAACAGAGCCCAGAGGTCAACCACACAGAATTTGGACAGCAGAAATATCCGGGACATTGAAAAGTACTTTATACGAAGCAAACAGAAGGGCCCACTCTAGAGATCTCCTCCTGCCATGATGCTGCAAGGCACTCTAGTGGTAGAGAAAGAAGAAGAAGATGCCATGAATGTTTCTCCATCCATAATGCCAAACTTCAGCATCATCTCTCTTGGTCTCCATCTACATATCTTCTCCTTCAACTTTTCCATAGACATTATGTATTCCCCTTTTCATGAAGGGACTAAATTATGTAGACTTGCCTCCTTCTGATATGGGTAAACAGTTCTCTTCATGCATTCATTTCTTCAGAACTTCACTACACTTTTTAACTGTCCATGATGTTCTCATCATTTGTCCATTAAACTACACTTCTGCAGCTTGGGTCCATTAACTGGTCTTGTGTCTTTGTTGTCCTTCCGTACATCAGCATTAGCTCTATATACCTGTTAAGAACTCTCTCTGTCATCTACACTCAAAGGACAGATACATTCTTCTCTTTGTGAAATGCTGGTGTTTTTTTTGTACTTTTCGTCCTTTTAAGGATGCAATTTTTCGTTATTTAAAGCCCTACTCTGGCTTTGCTGGGGGCCGCAATATAAGCCTGGCCATAAATATGGCCTAAAGGAGATAAACGCGGTTTCTGGGACCTCTCTACGGTGATCCTCACCCACATGTTGGTACATTATGTCATCGGGTGTTTATCGCTTATGTGATGTCCTGGTGGGGTAGAAAGTCACTCAGTCAAATGCTGGTGTTGTACATAAAACTTCTTGATTAAAATCTTCTGCCTGCTGTAATCAGGCTACCCAAGTACTTCAATGTACACCTACCTCATTTTCTTGAGACGAACCAACGACATAAAAGAATAGGTCCACGTTGCTTTTATAAACACAGGTCAGGCCTTCAAACATGATGATCTCTGCTGTAGACAGCAAAGATACAAATGTTATCCAATCAACAAGATGGCTTTTGTGGTTTTACTTTCATGTGATCTCTACCAAATCTTTTTTTTTAAACTGCAGATTTTAAAATGAAATGCTACAACAACAACAAATTCTTAAAATACTGTGGACTAAGAAAAAGAAAAACCTTAACACCCTCTATGGTATGAACATCAAGGAGAACTGGCTCATAAACAGCATCCTCTCTCGAAAGCTGAGCTATTTTGGCCATGATGTAATACAGTGGCCTGGAGAGGACAATCAATGAGGGTGTCGTTTCTGGAAAACAAGGCAGACCCACGAAGATGGATGGATACAAGACAATGAAGGTGTACTGGCTGTGAAAGTATGCCAGCTGGAGAAAAGAGAGACCTGCAGCTATGCCATGACATGAGCGATGCTCTGTTAAGGATCCGCTGACTGATGATGATGATCTCTACCACATAAATCATTTTATACTAACTTTGCAGATGAAGCAATTACAAATTTAAATGTTTCACAATTAACAATGTTCATTATTAATTTGGTGTTTTAAACACACCCAGCCTAAAATGGGTTTAAGGAAATATCATGGGAAGTAAATTCAGACAGAGTGATGCTGACCATGACTCCACACCCATCGACAGCTAACTGGTCTGCAAAAGCAGGGTTCTATACAATTTGTTAATTCACCAACAGCGGGAAAATGTCCAATACTTGACTTAATTTGTTAAAACACAAATCGCTGAAACATAGCTGGTATATGTATTACTCGTTTTTGCTAATTATTTAAATTTACTTGACTGACTGACTGATTTTCTACCCCACTAGGACATCACTGAAGCGATATACACCCGATGACACAAAGTGCCACCATGTGGGGGAGGATCACCGTGGAGAGGTCCCAGAAATCGCGTTCAGGCAATTGGCCATATTTATGGCCTGCCTATATTGCGGCCCCTGGCAAAAGCCAGGGTGGGGCTTTAAATAACAAAAAATTTCATCCTAAAAAGGACGTAAGGATTAATAAATAAAAATTTACTTCAGAGAAATATTGCTTTGAATAACTTACACAGAATTGAGTCTACAGGGCCATAATTATGTATATCCAGTGTACGATATGATAAACTACACATAATGGCAACTGTGCTTACCATTCGCTCTGTGAGTTTTGTTGAACAAATTCTTCTCAAATGCTTTCTGTTCTTTTGTGGTGGGAAAAGACTCATCATAATACTGGAGAATGATCAAATGAACAATCAGCATATGAAGAAAACACATCTCTCTTCGACAGAAAACAACATTTAAAAAATGAAGGATGTTTTTCAAGCTCATGCTGTTGGAAATAGCGGGGAAACCAATCGAGGCATGAAGTGTATAAAATATGTTATATGATCACAGAAACTGCATGTATAATTTTTTTTTTAACGTTGTTAACCCTTTTACTGCTGCATACCAAACAGTAAGCATGTACCACTGTGCTAAGCAAGCTCACTGCTGACCTCTTCTATGCTGAATAATTTGTTTTTTATCCTCCAAAAGCAAAAGATGTGTCAGTAGTGTTGGCTCATTTTTTTGTTTATACCTAGGAAGGTGGGTGGTTGGCCCGTGTGTTGACAAATCAGATGCGCTATACTGACGCCAAGAAAACGAACCTTCACAGAAAGGAAACACTAGAAACTAGATAAATTTGCGCAGCTTCATCAGCCATAGTGAAAGGAAGTTGTATCCTCTACTTCACCTCTGCATCCACCGTTGTCATTTATGTAGTTGAAACTCTACAGAGGAGCAAACATAACAGGAACCTTCTGAGCATCAAAAGTAGTCCCTTCTTTTGGAATGTTTCTCCTCCTCATCTTACTTACAGAAGGATATTGCAAGACAAATTATTATTTCATCCTTTACTTCCTCTCTGTCTCCACTGCTGCTGTAAGTTTAGTCATTGCCCCTAGCCTCCCCAATGGGATGATAGCATTCACATTCACAACCATTGGTCCAACCAATACGCTATGGCGGCTTCCACTTTTGTCATAATTAAATATAGTCAACCTGCTATTACTTATTTATTTGTTTTTTTCTTAAGTACTAAAAGGTGACTAATCAGAGATGTGTCCATCAAAGTTGGAGGGTGAGGAACCAACAGTCTGCATACAAATAGGCCAGATCTGTAACATGGAAAAGACTACAGTCTGGAAGAGGACATCCAACCAGAACTTTCGGCAGGAATACACAACCGGTGAATGTGAAGAAGAAAAAGTATCTTTATTAAGCTATCTTATATTGGCCTACCTTGGCAAGTAGCCTGTTCCCATCATTATCAAGAATAGCAATGGCTTTGATTGCGTACAAAGATGGCTCCTGCAAAAGCACATATTTAATGGTTAAAAATCTTTAACTTCATTCTACAAATATCTTTTTTAAGTTAATCTTTTATCCAGTTACTAAGAAACATCATTCAACAAAGGACAATTGTTAGAACACATCCTTGTAAAGTTCTATGCTAAGATATTCCTAACTTATAAAATATAATAACGCTCACAAGACACTCATCTTAAATAATAATCTGCTCACACTATGTTAAAGTGTAATGACAGGAGATGAATGAGGTCCTAAGCTCAAATGGAGGACATAATGTAGTTCACTACTTCCCCGGACATTTACTAGTACCTATATTAGGCTGCGTCAGCTCTGTGGCTAAGTCGATGTGAACGCTTTGCAATGCCGGGATGCGGGGTTCGATCCCAGCTGCGGGCCATGCGCCTTGCGTTGGTTTCGACAGTGGTATCAAGAAAGCCAACCGTCCAGAAAGCAATGGCAAACTACTGGACGTAAATTTGCCTAGAAAAACCACACAACAGCCAGGGGTTCTGCAGAGTCCTGTAAAGGATAAGCAACAACCAATAATTGGCTGCATTGACCAAAGGCAATTATTTTCCAAATCTGTCTGGTGTAGATTACAACTCCAAACATTCAGTCTATCAGGCAAGCATCTAGCCACAAAACTACTGCTACTCCCTTAATTATATATTACTTATACATAAATAGCAAGACAGTTTACTGTGTAAGGTAACCCGCAGTAAGCTAAAACATGTCGTTTCGATGTCCAAACTTCTTTGGTCAGTTTCCCTAATGGTTCTTTTCAAATTAGGGAACCTTTTACTTGCGAATCCCGCAACATAATTTATGCAATTATCTGCAAATGATGCAGCAAGGCATACATTGGGGAAACTGGCAGGAAGCTAGCTGATCGTTTCCGGGAACACCTCTCCGATATTGACAAAAAGACACTTAAACCAATCCCTCTCCATTTTAATAGCTCTGACCACAGAGGTAAAGATGATATATCTGTCACAGCATTTAAATCTTGCTCTGGTGATCATACTACCCGCCTCACTTTGGAAAATCACCTCATCCACAGCCTAGGCATTCTTAGTCCAAGTGGTATCAATAACCAACATACCTTCATGTAAATAGTTCTACTCTTATCACATTTTAAATTTTAATTATTTTCTTTTATTTCACATTATTACTTTATTCTTTTTCTTATCAGTATCATTTATGTATCATTACCATTTGTATTTCTTTTATTTACGTTTGTGTGGTTCACTTATGTTTGAAAAAGGCTGCCCGGCCGAATTGTTACGTTGTGTTGTTTTGTTCACGTTTTTCTGCTTCCCCATTTTGTTGAGCTTTTTAGTCAAATTTCTCTGGAATTCCTTATAACATACAGTCACACTGTAGCTAAATATATTCAATAAATTCCTTTAATAAACTTACTGCAGACAAAGTTGTTCAACGCCCCTTCAGACTGATATTATTAATAATATATTACACTAATAAATATATCCTTTACGTTTCCGTTTGCGATGTTGCTTAGCTAACTTAGACTTACGACTTATCAGATGTCAAACTGGATCTTTCTAAAAATTTGGCTCTCCTCCGAATGATGGTTCATAGTGATCGCGTTTGAAAATATACCCTAACAGAGCCTCAATGATATGTAGAATTAGGATTTATTTCCGGCAATTATGGCAGGCTGACCATCAGCTCCGACACAAGATTGGCAATAATGTTCAACTGATTGAAAAGCTGGCAGCTGTAGATGTTAAACCTGCCGACATATATTTGAACTGATTCAAGAACTGACATCACAGCACTCGGGGCCTCCCCATAAGCGCTCCGTCCCCATCTACAGCAGCCAGCGAAGAGTTCCGATACTAATGGTGCCAGCAGCATTCTGATTAAACGTCCGTCTTGCCTTTCCTCTGAGCCTCGAGCATCTGCCAGAACTTCTCGTCACTCCCCCCTGCATCAATCTCACCAGACTGTGGTGATCCAGTTGCTCCTCCGAACTGTACATGCTCTCCCACAAGGCACTTACCACGTCTGCTTTAAGATGCTCTTTGATGTAATCGTTCTAAAAATAACCTGTTACACAACGATGAAGCCGAGGCACTGATCGTGAATTTCATGAGATTCTTACACCGATACTAGATACTAACTGAAACTAAAGTTGACTTCACTGTCTAAACTTGAACTCAGTGCTAACTCGGCACCCGGCAAGAGAGAGAGTGAGAGAGAGAGAAATCAAGTGTTCAGTCAGTCTTTGGTTTCAATATATAAATTAAAACAAAACAATAAAGTTAAAGGTCTTTAAATTAAGAAAGGCAATATATTTCGCTTAAGATATATGAATTCTCATTCTCGTTCCTCCGTCTGGAAGGTCTATAGATAATATAACTGCGAAACTGAGAATGTATCTTTAGTGACAGAGAGAACACTTACAAGTAATCCACCGTCCATGTTGGTTGTTGTGACGTGTAGCTAGTTCCGGGCTGCCAATTGGGATTTTCATCAAAACCCAAGATGAAGTTGATAAAAACCCGAGATATAAACAAAATAAAACTTAAAAACCAAGGATTATTTTATAATTAAAAAAACGAAACAGTTTGTCAGCTTTATTAAAATATCACTCTAACAGCTTTTCTTACTAGCTGTTATCAGTAGTCACAGTCTCTTTCTGCTTTTCTTATCTCTTCAAATATCTTTGAAAAACAGCACCACTTTGCAAATCTTTCAACAATATTTTATTTGGTGTGGAAGACGCCGTGGTGTAGCGGCTAGACCTCGCCTGTGGATCAGAAGGTCGGGGGTTTGGGTCCTGCGGAGCTTGACATTTTTCATAAATAATCTTGGTTTCCAGGTTGACCCACCCTTGAATGGGTACCAAGTGCAATGCTGGGAAGTACATGCGGCCGGAGTGATGCTGACCACATCACCCACCAAGTGATGATTGGTCTATAAAATATAGGTCTAGCCCTATATGCCCAATACGCCTAAAGGCGTAGGGACATGTCATTTAGTTGTATTTCATGTTGTACAGTTGTTATAACCTATAATGATTGCTTCTCTTGCTCGTAAAAAAAAAAAAAAACATGCGTTCAAAAACTCTGAAGAATTAGATAAAAGTAGTAAGGTCGGACAATCCACGTCGCATGAGCAGCGTAGGGAACTCGTGTCGGTGGCGGTATTCGCCGGAGAGCCGCAAATTAAGTCGCCGGAAGTGCGCAATTGACACGTGACTGAGGCTCAAAAGGATATTTTGGGGCCGCCATCTTTACCGCCCGTTATTCGGAGGATAGCCTAATACTGATTATTTGAATCACTGCAACTTTGTTCTGGTACAAGCGAAGACAAATTAACAACAAATGTGGTCATAAATGCTTCACAAATGAGATTTCTAAGAAAGGTGGTCCAAGTGACAAGAAGGGACAAAGTCTGCAATCAGACAATACGTCAAGATCTTGATACCCAGTCCTTACAAACCCGAGTGGATCAGTCACAGTTACGATGGTTTGGATGTGTATGCAGAACAGAAGAAAATCGACCACCATGGAGGCTAAGATCCGAGGAACCAGACCTCTAGAGCACGACCGGCTCCAGCTGACGGGCCGTGCTGCTGACGTCACCGGGTCGGGCTAACGATGCGTTAACGCAGCATTTCTCAAACTGGGTGCTGAAGCAGCCTGGGGTGTCCTGAGCGTATGCCAGGGCTGCCGCGTAATAAAGAAAAGTCGGCTAAAAATGGGAAATAGTAAAGAAGGCATGTAGATACTTAAAGATACAATTTAAGTTGTCTTTCCTTGCCACTGTCGAAAATAGTTTATATCTTGTTTGAGAACCGCTGCGTTACCGCATCGTTAGCCTGACGCGGTGACGTCAGCAGCACGGCCCGTCAGCTGGAGCCGGTCATGATTTGTCTTGCGTTGGTTTCGACAATGGCACCGATAGCTGATAGTTCAGAGGCAATGGCAAACTATTGAACGTAAAATTTGCCTAGAGAAACCATAAAAGTCAAATAATGCTAAAGCTGGTTCTGCAACGTCATGTAAAGGATACGCAAATAACATATTGTGCAAGACTTATATATTTTTTTAACTGACTAATCGGAATTAGGTGGACGTTATGGATAGCCACCACCTGCTGCCTTTACTTTCCAGGACTTTACCTCGATACTTATTTTAGACAGTTTCTTCTTCTTTGCGTTCACCGTCTGTAATCTCCGGCGAAAAGTTCAAGTTGTTCGTCCACCTCTAGACCTTAGTCTTGTTCCAGAACCTGAATGCCGCTTCCGCATCCTTTTTACAGAACTGGCTTACTCGTATGCAGACTATTGGTTCCTTGCCTCTCGGGCAGATGCACTTTGACTTCGAAGAAGCCCACAGTGGACTTTTACGACATGCTTTTGTTTTATCATAGTCGACGTCATTGCACATAATACACTCCCATGTTGCCGCTGCCAACATCCAGCCCGCCAGTTTTACCACGTCAACATTCAGTCCGCCAGTGTCAGCATTCATTTTGCCACTCACAACGCTGAGTTAGCCACTCACAGTATTCAGTTAGTCACTCCCAATGTTCATTTAGCTACTCACAGCGTTTAACCATCCACTCCTAATATTCAGTCCGCCAGTGTCAGCATTCATTTTGCCACTCACAACGCTGAGTTAGCCACTCACAGTATTCAGTTAGTCACTCCCAATATTCAGTTTGCCACTCCTAATATTCAGTAAGTCGCTAACAGTGTTCAGTTAGCCGCTCCCAACGTTCAGTTAGCCGCTCCCAATGTTCACTTAGCCACTCCCAATGTTCAGTAAGCCACTCCCAACGTTCAGTTAGCCCCTTCCAGTTTTCAGTTAGGCACTCCCAATGTTCAGTTAGCCGCTCCCAATGTTCAGTTAGCCGCTCCCAACATTCAGCCCGCCAGTGTCAACATTCAGTTAGCCACGCCCAGTATTCAGTTATTCACGCCCAATATCCAGTTTTGCCACTCCCGGCATTCAGTCACCGTGTGTCAACATCCAGTTAATCTGTTCCAGTACTCACCTAATCTGTCCTACTATTGATTGAGCCGGTCCCAGTATTCAAGAGCCAGTAGTAACAGAATTCACTGGGTAATATTGTTAACATTCTACCCCACCGCAAACTTTATAGCATTGCAACAAGTATGAAGGAATCCACGCCCAGAATTTATTCCCTTCACTTATTTATGTTAACAATTTTCGGAACATTTGTTTGGTTGGCTATCGTTGCCGGTTTTTCCCATCCGGGATGCCTGCCGAAAATGTGATAACCTCTGAAAGTGTGATAACCCCTGAGAAATTGATAATCCCTGAGAAATTTAGCTTCTCTTCATGGGTGACAAAACAACGTGACAAAGCTCCAGTAAAGGTTAATATAACCTTTTCATGCGCACGCGCTTTGTAATGCCGGGTTGCTGGGTTTGATCCCAGCTGCGGACAATTTGTTTTGCGTTGGTTTCGACAATGGTACCGAGAGCTGACTGTTCAAAAGCAATGACAAACTATTGAACGTAAAATTTGCCTAGAAAAACCACAACAGTCAAAAAATGTTGGTTCTGCAACGTTCTGTAAAGGATACGGAAATAACATATTATGCAAGACATATTTTTTACTGACTAATCGGAATTAGATGGTCGTTATGGATAACCACCACCTGCTGCCTTTACTTTCCAGGACTTTACCTCGATACCAATTTTAGACCGTTTCTTCTTCTTAGTGTTTACCGTCTGGATTCTCCGGCGGAAACTTCAAGTTGTTCGTCCACCTTTAGACTTTAGTCTTGTTCCAGAACCTGAATGCCGCTTCCGCATCCTTTTTACAGAACTGGCTCACTCGTATGCAGACTATTGGTTCCTTGCCTCTCGGGCAGATGCACTCTGACTTTGAAGAAGCCCACAGTTAGTGGACTCTTACGACATGCTTGTGTGTTATCATAGTCGACGTCATTGCACATAATACACTCCCATGTTGCCGCTGCCAACATCCAGCCCGCCAGTTTTACCACGTCAACATTCAGTCCGCCAGTGTCAGCATTCATTTTGCCACTCACAACGCTGAGTTAGCCACTCACAGTATTCAGTTAGTCACTCCCAATATTCAGTTTGCTACTCCTAACATTCAGTCAGCCAGTGTCAGCATTCAGTTAACAACGCCTAGTATTCAGTTAATCACTCCCAATATTCAGTTTGCCACTCCTAACATTCAGTAAGTCGCTCCCAGTGTTCAGTTAGCCGCTCCCAACGTTCAGTTAGCCGCTCCCAATGTTCACTTAGCCACTCCCAATGTTCAGTTTGCCACTCCTAACGTTTAGTTAGCCGCTTCCAGTTTTCAGTTAGGCACTCCCAGTGTTCAGTTAGCCGCTCCCAACGTTCAGTTAGCCGCTCCCAATGTTCACTTAGCCACTCCCAATGTTCAGTTAGCCACTCCCAACGTTCAGTTAGCCCCTTCCAGTTTTCAGTTATCACTCCCAAAGTGCAGTTAGCCGCTCCCAATGTTCAGTTAGCCGCTCCTAGTGTTCAGTTAGCCGCTCCCAACATTCAGCCCGCCAGTGTCAACATTCAGTTAGCCACGCCCAGTATTCAGTTATTCACGCCCAATATCCAGTTTTGCCACTCCCGGCATTCAGTCACCGTGTGTCAACATCCAGTTAATCTGTTCCAGTACTCATCTAATCTGTCCTACTATTGATTGAGCCGGTCCCAGTATTCAAGAGCCAGTAGTAACATAATTCACTGGGTAATATTGTTAACATTCTACCCCACCGCAAACTTTATAACATTGCAACAAGTATGAAGGAATCCACGCCCAGAATTTATTCCCTTATTTATGTTAACAATTTTCGGAACATTTGTTTTGTTGGCTATCGTTGCCGGTTTTTCCCGTCCGGGATGCCTGCCGAAAATGTGATAACCTCTGAAAGTGTGATAATCCCTGAGAAATTGATAATCCCTGAGAAATTTAGCTTTTCTTCATGGGTGACAAAACAACGTGACAAAGCTCCAGTAAAGGTTAATATAACCTTTTCATGCGAGCGCGCTTTGTAATGCCGGGGTGCTGGGTTTGATCCCAGCTGCGGATAATTTGTTTTGCGTTGGTTTCGACAATGGTACCGAGAGCTGACAGTTCAAAAGCAATGACAAACTATTGAACGTAAAATTTGCCTAGAAAAACCACAACAGTCAAAAAATGTTGGTTCTGCAACGTTCTGTAAAGGATACGGAAATAACATATTATGCAAGACATATTTTTTACTGACTAATCGGAATTAGATGGTCGTTATGGATAACCACCACCTGCTGCCTTTACTTTCCAGGACTTTACCTCGATACCAATTTTAGACCGTTTCTTCTTCTTAGTGTTTACCGTCTGGATTCTCCGGCGGAAACTTCAAGTTGTTCGTCCACCTTTAGACTTTAGTCTTGTTCCAGAACCTGAATGCCG